CATAGGGATAAAGGAAAATAGTACCAGCTGTGCTAAAGGATGTATTAATTATCTTATCTGTGGTCATTATTTCACAATCTTTGTGTAAGTATATATATAATTCATATGTATATCTCTATATAAGTTGTACACATTAAACATGTATATTTTATTTGCCAGTAAAAAAAAAATCACCAAAAAAAAAAAACTCAGATGCCAAGAAGGTGACAAGAAATCATAGTAAGGACAGTCCCACACTGTTTCCTGCAGTCTCAGATTAGAGAATTGTGAGTTCAATTAAAGTGACCTAACAATTACTGCCTTGTAAATGCCCTTTTTATGTTTCCTAAATAGGTGTGCAGACCATGATAGGGGAGAGTTAAGGGCTGTATATATAGGCAAGAAGTAGGTTTGAGTCATTGCAGATTTTAGTTTCAAGAAAGTAGGAAGGATTACTCTGCCAAAGAGAGATTCCAGTTGCAAGAATCTGGACCTAAGGGAGTAATGTAGGTAGGAGGGATCAAGGGAAAGGATGGACATAATTATGACAGAAGTGGCTAATCAGAAAACAGCCAGGTGTTTTTATATTTTATTAGCTACAGTATAGACCCTAGAACTGCCTCAATCCCCTCCCCCCAACCACGGGGTCAGGCCTTCCCAGGAGCCCCCGCCTTTGCCGCCTGGGCCCGCTGAAACTCCTGCTGCAGCTGAGCAAGGGTCTCCCTCTGTTGCTCTGACTGCCGCTCGAGGTCCCGGAGCTGGGATTCATACCGCTTACTGAGGAGGGTCAAGAGGCAGACAGACAAGGAGAAATTACTGAGACTTACTATTAAATGGGTGCTGAAAGAAACTGATGGAAAATGAGGTCTAGGGGAGGGAGGAGAATGGGGTAAAAGGGAAGGGGTTGGAGGAACTTGATTAACTAGGGGTTCCTTTGGAGAACTCCTCTCCAGGGTTAACACCTCTACTCTGGCGGTGTCAGTAGCATCACAGGGTCGTGGAACAAAAACTCACATTTCAGCTGTGATATAGTCCAACCTCTTCCCCACTGTGGCCCGAGCCTCTCCCAGCTCCTGTTTGACCAGCACAGGACCCAAGAGTTTAAACACCACGTTGGACCCATCCAGCAGGGCCAATTCCTAATGAAGCAGTGAGACATAGATGATCGGAATCACTGCCAGTACAGGTCCCTCCTCGCCCCACAAATCCGTCTCTCACCTCCTTCACGATATTATTTTCTGTTAGTTGTGCTTCAAGCTTCTGCCGCCCTGACATGGATTTACTCAGATCTAGTAGGTGGGGGAGAAAAGACTTGATTAGAGATATCAAATGTGCCACCGGACCCCCACAGTCCTGGTCAGAAAAATGGGGCGAAGGAAGTAGACAAAGGACTGGGCCGCTCGATGGAAGGGCAAGAGTACTGAGGTGGGGAAGGCACTGCACAGGGGCCCCGAATGGGGCAGAAAACATTACCTTGGTATGGTTTTGGGCTCTGAGTTATTGAAAGGACTGGGACCACACAGACCCTGGTCTCTTACCTTTCTGTAGCTGTTGATATTTCTCCACCTCTCCCTGTAGCTTCTTCTGGATCAGCTCAGCCATGGCGAGGACGAAAGCAGGCTTGGGAGCAGGAGAGGGGCGCTGGGTCTCACACTCTGGATGTTACCAGAGCTCCCTTTTCTGGCCTGCGGAAATGACAGCACTCTTGAGAAGCAGCTTCACGGGGCACCGCAGCCTCTCTCCGTCAGGAATATCGGCTCTACCCCGACCCTGGGGTGCGTGGCAAAACGCGACCCGAAGCCACTCAACTCAATGAGACTGCCCTATTCACATTCTCTCTTCAGTGTTAACAAACCCGGAAGTAAACAAGGAATTCTGGGAAAAGACGGTGCCGGAAGCTGTCTTTGACACGCTCCGGGAACTGTAATTCTGAAATGCTTAATGAAAGGTGTTTTGCTAAAACGACCGGACTCGGAAGATTTTGGCAAGATGGAGAAACGAAACTGGAAAAAAAACCTTCACCGTTACTTGGGTTCCGGTCCCGGACGGCCTTTCTTTAATTACAGGGGCGAAAGCTGCCCTTCGGGAGGGCGAGGCTAAGGCCTGCCCCGCCTCTCACTGGAGAGCGGGCCCTCATTCAAGATGGCGCGTAGAGGGCTTCAGACCTGGTACGGCGCTGATTGGGTGAGGGCCGAAGGACTTCCGGTAGCTTGCCGTCTGACTGTGGGACTGCTGAGGAGAGTCTGCACGTGGATGGTCGCTGGCGTCTGCGAGATGGAGACAGCCCCCAAGCTGGGCAGGGACCTCCCACCCGAGAAGAACAAACTTCAGGTTAAGAGGAAGGTAGAGACCTCCCCAGGATGGAAGGGACATTTTTAGCTGCGTGGTCGGGTGGGCGGGACGCGGGCAGCGCAATTTCAGGGTTCTTGATCGGAGTATCAAGGTTCTTGCCGGTAGAAACCACGGCGATACTGGGAGCAAGAGACCACTCCGACCGCTGCCGGAGCCTCTCCTGGGCCCCCTCGTAACGAGAAGAGGAATAGGAAGCTCCGCCTCCAGAGGACAAAGAACACTCACAACCTAAAGAAGTCTCGGCTCTCTAAGAAGCCCCAGGCCCCGAAGAAATCCCGAGAACGGAGAAATCCAGAGCCTCAGCGGAGCTTGTCCGGGGTAAGCCTGGAACCTGATAGGGTGGCGGGCAGGTCGCCTTGTGCTTTGAGGATGCTAATTGCTTCGTCCTTTCCCCCAGGCCCAAGACCCATTTCCAGGCCCCGCCCCCGCCCGTGTGGAGGTGGCTCACAAGTTTTGTCGCATTGACAGATCCAAAAAGGTGAGGACCATCCGCAGGGTAGGTTGGGAGGGGGTGTCTGGGTGGGTTGGTTGGAGGTGAGGCCAGGTGGCTCTCCTGTGATCCCATATATTCTCTGGTTCTTCTCCCACTGCTCCTTCACCAACCACGTTACAGCTGCCGCATTCCAAGTCCAAAACCCAAAAACGACTTGAGGTGGCTGAAGCTGAGGAAGAAGTAGTAAGTGTCAAAGCTGCTGGTTCTGAGCTACTGCTTGCTGAGGAACCTGGGTGAGTGGGCTGTAACGTGGGCCTCCGTAGTCCCTGTTTTTTGGGACTCTTTCATTTTTATGTTAGTACACCCACTTCATATTAGGAAGCCTTACTGCAACACCAAAACTTGCAGGTTTCTGGAAGGGGAGGATGGGGAAAACACGGCAAAAATACTCCAGGCTGACATCATGGAGGCTGTGGACATTGCAAGCGCAGCCAAGGTGAGCCTGAGGTTGGCAAAGGGGCCAGTAGTGGATTAGTGGTGCAGCACAAGATGGAAATGAGGATTAGAAGAAGCAGTTGCTGAAGGGAGCCAATTCTTTCTTTCTTTCTTTCTTTCTTTTTTAAACTCTTCCCTTTCCCAGCACTTTGACTTGAACTTGAGGCAGTTTGGACCCTACAGACTGAATTACTCTCGCACTGGGAGGTGAGGTTGAATTCCAGTGACTCTTGAACTAGGATGTAGTTGGTCTCCTTAACCACTCCAGCTATGCCTATCTCAGCCCTGCCAGTGTGTGTTTGGTTGTTGATGTGGAGAGGGTCCTGTGATCTGCTTGCATATGAGGTTGAGCACGTACAGCAACAGCTCTCCTCCCACCTGGAGAGGAGGGGTTGGTGTGGGGCAGACCTCAGATGGTCTTAGTCAGACCCTGAGATTGGCACCTTGTCTTCCCACGCCTTCAACAGACACCTGGCTTTTGGAGGGCGCCGGGGTCATGTGGCTGCCCTTGACTGGGTGACAAAGAAGCTCATGTGTGAGATCAATGTCATGGAGGCAGTGCGGGACATCCGGTCAGTGGGGGTAAGATAGCCCATCCCTGATTGAATGACAGCCCGTGACCCCCTTTCCCATTGAACCACTTCTTTCCTCCCAGGTTTCTGCACTCGGAGGCACTGCTTGCTGTTGCTCAGAACCGCTGGCTTCACATCTACGATAACCAGGGCATTGAGCTCCACTGCATTCGCCGCTGTGATCGCATCACGCGACTTGAGTTCCTACCTTTCCACTTCCTCCTGGCCACAGCTGTGAGTGGGTGTGGAACACAGGGACCAGACAGCAGCCTTTGAGAAGACCTCCCCTCCCTTGGGACCCCAGTAGAGGGAGGACGGGGGTAATCAGGGCTCATCTCTTTATCTCATAGTCAGAGACAGGGTTCCTGACCTACCTGGACGTGTCAGTGGGAAAGATTGTGGCAGCTCTGAATGCTCGGGCTGGACGGCTGGATGTCATGACTCAGAACCCTTACAATGCTGTCATCCATCTTGGACACAGCAATGGTCAGTCTGGCTGAGCTTTGACTCTGACCATCCTGACCTGCTTTTCTTCTATATTTGTACTTCATGAGTCGCTTAAAGTTACCCCTTTTACCTCCCTCTTGTTACCTATTGGCCTTGAGTCCTGTTCTCCCAGGTTTAATCACCTCAGTGTCCTTTTAGTAATTTCAGCTCTTCTCTTACGTCCAGGTACTGTATCCTTATGGAGTCCAGCCATGAAGGAGCCACTGGCAAAGATTCTCTGTCATCGTGGTGGTGTCCGGGCTGTGGCAGTGGATTCTACAGGCATGTAAGTCACTCATTTGGGTATGAGGTTCTGGGAGGTCGCAGCTGGGTAGAACAGTATAGAAGGCAGTGTGCCTTTAGAAGCACAGACTGTGCACCAGGCTGCCTGGGTTTAAATCCTGGTGTTACCACTGACCAGCTATGTAAGAGTGGGCACATTGCATAACCTCTGTGTGCCACACACTTTCTTCACCCTAAGAGTGCAGATATGAGTGTGTAGCTCAAGGGTCAGAAAACTTTTTCTGTAACGAGTTGGGTAATAAATATTTTAGACGTTGCTAGCCTAGAGGCAGAATTGAGTGTATTATGTAGATACTTAAATAACAAGAGAGAAAACAAAGTATCATGAAATTTTAAGCAGTGAAATACAAAATACAATTGAGTGTTAATATTTTTATAATACCGGTCTAATGGGAAGATTTGGATTCTTTTTGAGGATAACATTTTGCTTAATTGAGGTTCAAAGGCAGTATTCTAAATCACCAAACTCAACTGCAAGTGTTTATCTATTAATGCTGATCTGTAGAGAGATTTCTTGCATTTTATCTTTGAAAACATCTTTTCACAGGGATAGATGATGAGATCGGTGGTGCTTGAAAAGCTATCGAGTTATAACTATGTCACTGCGATCTGTAGCAGGGCCAGGCAGCAATGCACAGACAAGACGCCCTCTGTGGTGTCTGTCTTGATCACTTTACTGTGCTAATGTAGCACAGAAACAGCCATAAAATAAGTATGTGAACAAGTGTGGCATTCCAATTAAACTTTATTTGTGGACACTGAAATTTGAATTTCATACAGTTTTCACATATTTTCTCAAAATATTCTTTTGACTTTTTTCCAATCACTTAAAACTTTAAAAACTATCTTTGACTTGTGAGCTGTATAGGTGGTGAGCTGGATTTGTTTGGCTCATGGGCTGTAGTTTGCCAAGCCCTGAGCTTAGCTCAGAAGCTGTTGTAGACGTTAAAGCAAGCTAAGGCATATGGAGTTTTGCAGGGTGCCTGGTGAATAGAGAACACTGTTTCACCATTGGCTTCATTACAGAAGGATAATGGTTCTTCTCGGGTCTGGCTGGTGATGTGACAGGTAGGGGTGGTGGTGGGTCTCTTTGAGTTTCTGCTTTTCCTGGGAAAGTGTTTGTGTTTCCACAGCTGTGTTGTCTGATGTGTATGTATGTTTGGACCCACACATTTCCTCTAATTCCTTTCATCTGTCAAGCTGTCACTGGGCTCTGCTGTAGGTTGGGCCGTGCACTGAGGTTCTGGGGGTAGAAGGATAAACCAGCCACTGAGCCTGCCCTGGCAGCCATTCCACACTTTGATTATAGAGCAGGTGGCCATGGTTTATGGGAATGACTGACCAGGTGGTCCAGCATTTCGTTTCTGCTCTGTTGTCTTCTGTCACCGTAGACTCAATGTGTGTCTCACTCATAGGTCACCCCACTCTCGAAGTTCCTCCTTGCCTGCTCCCTTTCTGCCCCATTTTCCTGTCATCCAGAATTTGACACCTCTAGCTGCCACGCAGCCCCATGTTCTTCAGCCCTTGGGAGGAGCAGGAACCCAAAGCACTGTTTGTTGAGTGCTTTCTGAGCACCCAGCCTCTGCTGCTGGTTTGGTGGAGCATGTCATTAGTGTCAGTGACGCCCTGTGAAGTGCCGACTGCTTCTCCCCTCCCAGGTCTGTCTCCATCCTTGCTGTCTCCTGTGGGCACATGTGCTTGCAGTCACTTTCCAGCTTCCAGTTCTTCCTCCTGGCATGTCCTGGGTGCTGTTATCAGAATCGTCTTTCCCACAAGCTGTGTTCTTCCATTTACACTGCTGCTCAGGAATATTCAACATTAAGTATTAACTACAAACTTTCATTTATTTATTTGTTTTTAAAATTTTGGTATCATTAATCTACAATTACATGAAGAACATATGTTTACTAGGCACCCCCCTTCCCCAAGTCCCCCCAGCATACCCCTTCACAGTCACTGTCCATCTGCGTAGCAAGATGCTGTAAAATCACTACTTGTCTTCTCGGTGTTGCACAGCCCTCCCCATGCACCCCCATGCACTATATACATGCTAATCATAATGCCCTCTTTCTTTTTCTCCACCCTTATCCCTCCCTTCCCACCCATCATCCCCAGTCCCTTTCCCTTTGGTAACTGTTAGTCCATTCTTGGGTTCTGTGATTCTGCTGCTGTTTTGTTCCTTCAGTTTTCCTTTTTTCTTATACTCCACATATGAGTGAAATCATTTGGTACTTGTCTTTCTCCACCTGGCTTATTTCACTGAGCATAATACCCTCTAGCTCCATCCATGTTGTTGCGAATGGTAGGATCTGTTTTTTTCTATGGCTGAGTAATATTCCATTGTGTATATGGATTCATCTACTGATGGACATTTAGGTCAAACTTTTATTTTTAAATCATTTTAAAGAAAATCAGGAAAAGGAAAAGTAGCCACAACTTACGAAATGCTTCCTGATGCTCAGGCCTCATTGGCCCCCATAGTCGTATCTGTGTGGACAAGTGATTTGGTCTTCCCCTCTTTACTCCATACCTGAGCCAGCCTGGCTCTAGGAGAGTGTGGAAGCCTGTCACCCAGGGATTTCTGCCTTCCCCAAGCTGCCTGGGCCAGCTGCTCCTGTGCCAAGGGCTCAAGTCAGACAGTTCCCTGAGGTCCACATCTTGGTGCCGAATGGCTGTGGTCCTTAGGCCCACCCTTGCCTTGTATTTGGTCTCCTCAGGAATGCCTCAGACAAGCCACAGGGGCTCCAGAGATGAGGGTTGCTGTCTTCCTCAGGAAGCTTTCTGGAAGCTTGCGTTAGGATTGGATTGGATTCTCAAAGCTGAACTGTTCTTGCAAGTTTAGTAGCATGGTAGTGTGGCCTGGATGCCCATCTGGCCAGGGGCTGGTGTTTGTACAGGTGATCCCAAAGGCAGATGGTGTGGGGAGAGGAGCCAGCATGTGCCCCTGAGTTGTTGGTTCACTGAAGGGGGTGACCCTGTGTCCAAGGAGCCCCCAGTAATTCCTGGTTTTCCCTCATCACCTTTCCTCCTGGTGGAGGTGGGGCCCTGATGTCCTGTCAGGAGAAGGATCCAGCTGGGCATCTCTTTGGTCCCATAACAGAGCAGTTCTCTGCTCATAGGAACTCTTCAGTTCTCCTTTTCCTGGGTTTATTTACAGCCAAGGCTAAAAAGTGAGTCCTTGAGCCCTTGGCAAACATATACCCCTGGCCTGGCTGGTCCCCCTTCAGCCCCCATCTCTGAGGAACAGCTTGAATATAGAAACCTCAACGTCTGAAAATAAACAACGTCCACAATGTATGATTCCTTGAGAGGATTTGGTCACTAACCTTGCCCTTCCTTCTTCAAGGGAAAGGGGGAAGGGCAGGGCCCTCCAGTGCATTACTTTGTTACTTCCTAAGGTCTCAGGTCCATGCAGTCTTCAGCTGTGGTTTGTCATTGTTGGGGAGCAATGTTGGGGACTGTGCGTCCTCTGTCTGACCTTAAAGAGCCCCTGTGATTTGTCCCCTCCTGGTCCTCCAGACTGTATTTCCTACCAGTCCTGAAAGCAAACCTCTGCCTCTGACTCACTGTCTTTGCACTGTGATGTTACTTCATTTGTACCTGCTGTATCTCTGTTGTGCTTTCCTGGGAATTACCTAGAATGGCTCAAATCCGACTTTTCCCATGAAGTTCTCCCTGACCACTGCCATTGATCCTCTTTGCTGAGCCACTGTGCTGTCTGTGCAGTTGAATGTCACATTTAGCTTCAGGTTGTGTGCACTCCCCCTTTGATGCGCGTCTTGACTAGCTAAGAGGACAAACACTAGAGAAACAGGCCTGACTTGAGTTCTAGCTCTACCACTCATCCTGATTTCCATTCTCTGATCTTCATATCCTCATCTATGAAAGGGAAATAGAAATTGTAGTCATGTAGTGCTTACCCAAGAGGCTGCCTGTAGAGGGTTTGGTGTGATGGTAGTGGCTAGTGTCATTATTAGTTTCTTTTTCCCCAACTTGATGCCTGAACTTGGCCATAGGCCTGCTCAGTAAGCCCACACTACAGACTGATCGATCCCCCTTCTTCCCCAGGCACATGGCCACCTCTGGCCTGGATCACCAGCTGAAGGTTTTTGACTTGCGAGGGACGTTCCAGCCTCTGAGTGCTCGGACCCTGCCCCAGGGAGCAGGGCACCTGGCCTTCTCCCAGAGGGGACTGCTGGCTGCGGGAGTGGGTGACGTGGTCAACATATGGGGAGGGCAGGGCAAAGCCAGCCCACCCTCCCTGGAGCAACCATACCTCACGCACCGACTCTCAGGCCATTTGCATGGCCTTCAGTTCTGCCCTTTTGAAGATGTGTTGGGGATAGGACACAATGGGGGCATCACCAGCATGCTGGTCCCTGGTGAGTGGGCCAGGGGATTAGGCTCAAAGTGCATGAGCTCTGGATGGAAATTGAGTGGGCCTGAGACAGCCAGAAACAGAGGGGCTTGCTTGGGCTAGAGCTGCTAGACTGGGTTCTTATTTGTGGGTTCATGCTCCTTCCAGGGGCTGCTGAGCCCAACTTTGATGGCCTGGAGAGCAACCCATATAGGAGCCGGAAGCAGCGTCAGGAGTGGGAGGTGAAGGCCCTGCTGGAGAAGGTGAGGTTTGGTCTGCATACAGTTTGTGCCTAGGAGTGGGGAAAGCTCCCTGTGCTGGGGGGTCTTGGGAAGAGTGTAATTCAACACCCTCTTTGGCTCTGTCCCTCTTTGGATCACCTCCTGTGGGTCCTACCCATTCCTGTAATGTGACACCTCCAGGTGCCTGCGGAGCTCATTTGTCTGGATCCCCGAGCCCTGGCAGAGGTTGATGTCATCTCTTTGGAGCAGGAAAAGAAGGAGCGGATAGAGAGGCTGGTATGAAGCAGGCCCCTGAGTGCCCAGGCTCTCCCCATCCCCTCATCCTTTCCACCCAAGTCCCCAAAAGTGTGGTCCAGCAGATGGATGCTGCTGCCAGTTCCCTGCCTCTTGAGACTGTTTAAGATTTCGCTCTTGCCCCCCTCCCTCAGGGCTATGACCCCGAGGCCAAGTCTCCCTTCCAACCAAAGCCAAAGCAGAAGGGCCGCAGCTCAACAGCAAGCCTAGTGAAGAGGAAGAGGAAGGTCATGGATGAGGAACACCGGGTAATGAGCACTGGGGGTGGGCTGGGCCTCCCACAAGCTGGTTTCGCCTGCTTCTCACCTCCCCTTCTCCCCACCTAGAACAAAGTCCGGCAGAGTCTGGAGCAGCAGCCACTGAAGCAAAAGGCCAAGCCCGTGGGGGTCTGGCCGTCTGCCCTGGACAGATTTGTGCACTGAGCCAGGCTCCAGGGTGGCCTGTGGACAACAATCTCTCCCCAAGATTGCCTGTGGGGAAATAACCCTGTTCCCTGGAATGAGGGGCACTGTGCCCCTTCCCCAGCTGGGGGTGGGTTGGTATTAAAGAGCAAGGTGTTTTGGGGGGATGTGTTGTCTGGGTCTTCCTTGGGATGTGTTCTCCTCCCCTTGCCCAGCATGGGTCTACTCTAGGATCTGAGGGGTCATGGTGTCCTGCCCCAAATCTAATCACAGTGACCTTAGCCTTGCTGTTTGGGCACTTTCCTCGCAGAGACTGTCCTCTCTCCCATGTCCCTGGAGATGTCCTTCCTATCCAGCAGGGTCTGGCAGCCTGCAGGCTCCCTAGGTTTGTGTCTGGGACCCCTGGTGAGGACCGCACTGCAATCAAAGAGGTAGAGAGACAAGTTTATTGAGAGGCTTAAGCCTCCTTTCTGTCATGGCTGGAGAACAACCCCAGCATTGTTTTGTTCTTCCTGAAAACCATCTTAGGTTTCTTCTATATCCTCAGTCTTCAGTGACAGACTGAGCATCTGGTATGGGGAAACTGATCAGCTGCAGCCAGCTAGGACTCCTGCTTTGGGCCTGGGAGAAGATTGTTGGTGGTACTGGCTGGGCCCTTAGCAACTCACTCCTCTCCTGGGGCCCTAGGTATTCTCAGCTGTGAAGCCAAGCTATTATCCGACACCGCAGGATGCCCAGGACTCCTTGGAGCCAGGAGCAGAAGGGTGCAGTCCTTTCCCCATCAGAGCCACCCACCAGCTTCCAGGCTTCCTGCATCTTCCAGGGGTCCAACCTGTGGGATGTCAACAGGAATTTCCCATAGCAGCACCGGTCCAGGGGGAAGTGGGTGGCACCCGCCAGCTTGACACAGTGGGTTGGGGTGAGGCCTCCTCGTCGGGCACTTACCCCCACAAAGACATCCTCCAGTGGCAGAGGGGGTGCCTGGCTAGCCACTTTCAGAATGAGCTGCACAGCAGAAGCTGACAGCACATACCCTGTGCCAGAGGCATAGGGTGGGAAGGGGCCCCAAGTAGGGGGCCACTGCTCCTCTGATACCTGGTGCTTGCCCCCTGGCGTCCGAGAGGGGTACACCCGCCAGTGCACACGGCCCAGGTACAAAAGAGGCACTTGCTGGCTCCCTGAGGTGGGGCCGCCTTCCCACTCTTCATCCCTAACCTCAGCCACTCTCTGGGGCTGCAACCCTCTCTCCCATTGTTCCCAGCGGCCGCCTCGCCGGACCAGCTCTGATACCAGCTCAGGAACGTTGACAAACACGTCGTCATCGGTCTTGAGGACGTAGCGGGCCATGGGGCAATGTCTGTCGACCCAGTTAAGCCCACTGAGGGTTTTGAGGGTCAGGTTGCGGTAGGAGTCCAGGAAGGCCGCCTGCAAGATGTCCCCCTGGGTCGCTGACTCCTGTGCTAGGTCGTTCTCATGAGAATCCTGGGTGGGAACCGTGCTTGGCTCTCCCAGCAGAAAGAGAGTCTGCACCCTGAGCCCTCGGGCCTTGCGCAGCCCTCCCCACGAGGCCCGAATGGCATTTCTTTGGATCAGGTTGTCCGGGGCCGTGCACACCAGGATGAGCAGGAACGGAGGGGCTCCAGGACCACCGCACGCCTCCTCATTGGGGATCAAGAGGTGGGGCAGGGCCAGGGGCGGCCCCAGCAAGGCCCGGGCTGGGAGCAGGGAGGCTAGCGAGAGGCTCAGCAGCTCCTCCCCGATACCCGAGGGCCCGAAGAGAGTCCAGACTATCACCAGCAGCAAGGCGGCAAGGAGAAGGCGCCGGAAGAGGCTGAGGTGCATGATGCGGTGTAGAGAGGACTTAAGAGAGGCGCTGAGCGGTTAGAGCCGAAAGCCCGGCTCTCCGTGGCCTGGGCTGCTACCGGCGCGACCAGTACAAGCGCCGGAGAGCGGGGCGGCGGCTGGAGCTGCGGCGCTGTTACCTTGTCTTCCGGGCCCCGCCTCCGCAAAGCTCGGCTCCATGGCTGGGGGATCGCTGCTGCATCGGCCGCTACTTCTCTGCCGGTGGCCTGGGCCCCACCCGCTTATCGGGGAGGTGACGCACTGGGCGTCCACCGCTTGTCGCCGGAAGCGACGGCGGCGGCAGGGTGGGCACAACGGCAGGCAGGATGGTGGGCGCTTTGCCGGGACTAGGCCCTAACTGCACAGGCGTGCCTTGGCCGTAGAGCGCAAACGCAGGGCAGCGGCATCCTAACACATGCGGTTCACCCCTCAGCCTCAGGGCCCAGCGTTTGCGGCTCAGTTGAACCGGGGCCCTTAGAGGATTTTATCTGTAGTAGCACCCCACAACTCCACCTTCTTCGGACCAGACACAGGCCCCCATCCTTTAGGAACCTAGGGTGGGCAAGACTGGCCAATTACCTGAGCAACTGGCTAGGCTCAGCTACCTAAGCATGCCACGCCACTGCACACCAAACACAGGCGACTTGGGGGTGTTCAAACTGGCTTGGGCTCCCCCCAAAGGCCAGGATGTGTTGGTTTTGTCTGCCACGCACACTGGAGGGCTGGGCACCACGAGGTAAAGGTGCCTCAGGAAGGGTGGGAAGTGGCAGCATCATTGTTTAAACCAAGACCAGCGGGCATTTTTTTTAAGCAACTGGGTGGGGACATCAGCTAGAAGGGAAAAATCACCCCCTAATAGTGTCCCCAGAAGAATGGGGGAGAACCCAAAGAAGGAAGCCAAAGGTGTATAAAGTATTTATTAACAGACAAGACCTACAAATTTATTTCTTTTTGGACACACCCACGGTGCGCCCACGGCGGCCTGTGGTCTTGGTGTGCTGGCCTCGGACACGAAGTCTGCATTGAGAAAAGAGTCGAGTCACAGGTCATACACAATACAAACATTTGGGAAGAGAAGACAGAACCCAAGACATCTCTGGGAGTCTAGGGGCAGGCAGGGAGACAAAGCTCCCACACCCACTCACCCCCAGAAGTGGCGCAGCCCTCTGTGGGCCCGAATCTTCTTCAGTCGCTCCAGATCTTCACGGAGTTTGTTGTCCAGACCATTAGCCAGAACCTGGATTTGGAAGAGAGGGTGAGGGCCATTTATTTTACCCCCTAACTTCCTATGGCAATTCTAATGGATGCCACATCCTCCTCTTTTCTCATCTTTTTCATCTCAATACACACCTGGCTGTATTTCCCATCCTTCACATCCTTCTGTCTGTTCAAGAACCAGTCTGGGATTTTGTACTGGCGTGGATTCTGCATAATGGTTATCACACGTTCCACCTGCCAAACAGGACAAGGGTCAGATCCAGATGGCCCCCTCCACGGCACCCCCACCGGCCTCATCTGTATCCTTACCTCATCTTCAGTAAGCTCTCCTGCCCTCTTAGTGAGGTCAATGTCTGCTTTCCTCAACACCACATGAGCGTATCGTCGCCCCACACCCTGAGAAGAGATTTTAGAACTGGGTTAAGTCTGATTTCTTTGGTTTCTTACAGCCCCACTATTCAAAAAGCACAACAAAGGCCTGTAACCACCTAGTGCTGTATACTTTCCCATGTCACCCTTGCCTCATCCACTTTGCCAGAAAAGAAAACCATTAAATAGAGAAAAAGTTTTGTTCACAGGCAGGGCTGGACCACAAACAGGGAGCTTAGGATCGATAACCCCTTGAAAGCAGATCTTTTTTATTGCCCAAAATATGTAGTTACCAATAAATGCTGGTCATTAGACACTGCAGCAGCGGTACCTTCTGCTCTCTGTCTATACTGACCTGCTGGCTCTCAAAGATGGTGGTGTAGCATCAAAGCAGCAAGACTGGTCTTTTGAGGTAACAGGGTTTGATCAAAGAGTAGCACTGTCAATAAATCAACCCTGCTCTGGGTCTCTGAGAACCGTAATTCTTTGGGCAAGTCACCTCACCCCCACCATCAGTTTTCCAAGATCACAAATTTGATTTTGTCAGGACCTGGAGATGACCAGGCCCTAGGGAGCCAACTATACAAATCAAACTCAAAATAAAATAATACTTAACACTGGTACTCCTTGCCACCTCAACTCACAAACCAAGCATATCTGGATAGTGAAGGACTGTGTGCTGTGCTGAATAGCAGCACCCCCCTCCCCAATGTATGTCCATCTAGAATCTCAGAATATGACTGTATTTGGAAATAGGGTCACTGCAAATTTAATTAGTTAAAATGAGGTCATGTTGGACTAGGGCAGGCTTTCAATCCAATGACTGGTATCCTTACAAAAGGAGAAAACATACAAACACACAGGGAAGAAGGTCACGTGGTAATAAAGGCAGGAGACTGGAGCAATGCACTTACAAGATTAGGAAAACCATGGACTGTTGTCGACCACCAGAACACAGGAAGAGCTAATGATTCCCAGAGCCTTCGGTGCAAGCATGGCCCTACTGAAACCTTGGTTTTGGACGTTTGGCCTCTAGAACTAGGGGAGTAAGTTTCTGTTATTTTAGGCCAAGTCTGCAGTAATTTGTTACAACGGTCCCAGGAAACAGATGGTACTTCCTCTGTAAGAAAGTGACCTAGGAAATCAAACTATCAGGGGGTTGATGAAGAAGACATTAGGGTCAGAGTCTCTCTCAAATTTAACTATTTACAGATGAAATAGTATATCTGAGATTTACTTTAAACTACGAGTGGATAGGGAAGGTTACAGATAAAAAGATTTCTCATTTTTAGCTAGATGATACATCCACAGGGGTTAATAATTTTACCTCTACTTCTGAATGTTTAAACTTATTCCATAAGTAAGTTTTTAAAAATTTGCTCTCAAGCTAACATTTTTGAAAGCTGTTATCTTGACTGTAGATACTGGCTCGCCACCTTTCTAAATTACATTCTCAAATCCCATTTTCTCTCCCCAAACCACCCATTTTCTCAATCCACAAGAGCACATGAAGTCCAGCCAGCCTTAAAGAATACCCATAGCAAAAGTTTACAGAACAATTAGGAAGGGTTCCCAGTGCAGAAAAACCTTGCAGAATCTGTATGGCCTCTCAGTAAATACCCCTCCCTTTCTGCTTCTATCAACTTTCATTCTGTATCCTTCCCTGGCCAAATAACCCTAACCACTTTAGCCACATCTTTTGAGGAACTCTTCCCCATCCAACAGCCTCCTCCCTCTTCCAGCCCCAACTCTATTCCATTTTCCAAGTATTACCCCCTGTTCTGGAACCTTATTAAAATATCACAAACTTGAGTTCTGTCACCAGGGAAGAGCTAGGTGCCTTTGTTGGCTCTCCACACTATTAGCAAAACCTTCAGTACTCATCCATCTCCAAGAATAACCTTTCCCAGTGATAAGCAGGGCATCAGGATCCTCGAGTTCTTTCCTATCACCAAGTACTCAATGGACTTTAGTTAAATTGCTTTAGGTTGACTACAAAGGTTATGACACATACTTCCGTAAGTACTCAGTACAAAACCAATTACTGACAAAAAGGCATAGAGAGTTTAACAGAAGCAGCACATTAACCAAGATCTTTTATATCAACATTTATAAAATGAGCATACCTTGCTTTATAGCACTTTGCAGATACTGCTTCACAAACTGAAGGCTTGCTGATAGCTCTGTGTCCAGCAAGTCTATGAGCACCATTTTTCCAACAGCTTTTATTTCATGTCTGTCACGTTAATTCTTAAAATGTTTCCAATTTTACATCACATTATGATAACCTGTGACAACTAACTGAAGCCCAGATGACAACCAGACTTTTCTTTAGCCATTAAGTATTTTTAAATTAAGGCATGCACGTTTTAAAAGACAGAATGCTACTGCACACTTAAAAGACTACATACAGTACAGTTCAAACGTAGATAAGTTTTAATGTGCACTGGGAAACCAAGAAATTCACCTGACTCACTTTATTATGAACCCACAGTATATCTGAGCTATGCCTGTGCTCGCTATCTCACTTAGCCTCACAGCAATCCTTCAAAAAGGTACCGTATTTTACACTGCCTTACTAATTTCACAGTGGAACAGAAAAAAGCATTCTCTTTAAATCCACTTAAGAACAAATGAAAGCTGTGCTTCCTGCAATGCAGAATTGAAAGTTAAGGGAATTTGATGAATCTTTTCCATCAAAGCTCAGATTTAGTTTTAAATTAACAACTGATCTATAAAATATTTATCATAGTTCCATTTAAATGCTTTGAAACCAGGCAATACTATCCCTGGTAACACCTATTCTCTACCTCTGCTTGACCACCTATAATGTAGCAGAAGCTGGGAATTGTGAGCAAGATAGGATTATTCCTGCTCCTACAAGACTTTCAGCCATCTTCACAAGTAATTATACGTATTTACCAAAAGACAAGACAGAAACATAAGGAAGAGAAAAAAATCTCCATCTGGAAGGCCAGGAGTTCACTAGGTCAGTGAACAGAGATATCCAAGTCTGCATTCTCCTTGACTAATACCACAAAGTGGAGTACTCAACTCAGTCCTACTTCCAGTGGAAAGGGGTGAACTTCACCTCTGCATCTGAGTAAAGGTCCAGGTCACAACTAAGACACCCCTCCCACCTCCAGGTCTCTTGACACTTTATGTTGGCATTTGTCTGGTCATCCTTCATGATGTACAATTTATCGTATTTCCAGGATTTCTAAGTTTCATATGAAGCATTTGTTATGAATTAACAGTGAAGGGGGCAAAAACCAAATCTAGAATGGACTCTAGATGACAAAGGGCCGATGGTAGCGGAAAATGTTTAGCCAGTTCAGGAAGACAATCAAACCCACTCACTCCCCACCACCCTAGGTAAGATATTTTTGCTTGACCAGAGTAATTCTCTGGTTTTCACTACTTTCCTTTTGGGGGTAAACGTGGTGAGGGGTTAAGGTATTAGTCACTCCTTTTTTACCCAGCAGCTGAGGTGTTCTGGTTGGGATTTAAGTTTCCTCAACCATGCCTCACAGCCTAACTCTTAACAAGCTGCTTCATTTATGTTCTAAACTCCTTCCCCTACTTTACCTTAATAGCAGTGATGGCAAAGGCTATTTTCCGCCGCCCGTCAATATTGGTGTTGAGTACTCGCAAAATGTGCTGAAACTTCTCAGGGATCACTAGAGACTAACAGAGATTGGGGGAGAAATCAGACATAGTGAACCACCATCAAACCGCTATCTCAAACAGAAACGTTAAGCCTGTCACACAGTGAGCAACGACCCCCTTCAGGTTTTCACAACACAGCAAATTCCTCAGTCCTGACGAAGCAGGAACATGAAGTGATCAGGCCCGGGAAAATGCAACCTCAGGGTGTAGGCAAATATTCTGCCCGTTCCCAAAAGTACAATGAGTGGCGGAAGCCGGAGGTCCCCATATACACCCAAGCCCTTTACTACTTTCGAGCGCCCGGGGAGTGACTCTTCCTCTAGCCCACGCCCAAGAATTAGATGTCTCTAGCAGTTTCTTCCCAGGGGCGCGATCCAAGACGCCAGAGATGTGCAGACCCCCAGAACAGGGAGTTTTCAGCCCTCTGACAGCAGATCTTCCCCGCCCATGTTGCGATGTAGCCGGATCCCCTCACGGATGCCAGTCTCACCATGGCGGCAGCAGCACAAGCGGCGTGTAGGCCTCCTGTGGAAAAGAGAGCGGAAGTGACGCAACAATCCTATATACCAACCAGGCGGAAGAGGTGGAGCGATCTTGGCGAAATGCTTCCGGAACGTGCTTGTGCTGAAGCCGGCTCAACTTTTGAGTCTGAATTTGTTTCCACAACTTCCGGTGAGGTCTCACTTTATAGTTCTAAAATTCCTGGGTGGGAAAGCCGTGAAGGTTCCGGGGTGAGATTGTGTTTTAGACGTCTAATTCCCATTAGCACTCGGGTGAAGTGGTTAGAGCTCAAAGGAGAAGGCTGGATTCAAACAATTTAACTCAAATATCTGAGAACTATTTCACGCTGTGCAAAACACTCGAGGACTTGTCGGTTCACTGCCGGGATCGGACTCGTGGCCGCTGACAGCTGCCGGAAGTGAGGCTGCGCGGGATGGCCGCTGCTGCGACCATGGCGGCAGCTGCCCGGGAGCTAGCGTTGCGGGCTGGGGCCTCAGATATGGAGGAGGAGGAGGGCCCGCTGGTGAGAACGTGGGGCAGTTTTTCTTTCGGAGTTTTGTCTGGTCGGCCTCGCGTCAGAAAGGCCTGGGCCGGGTTTGGGCACTAGGTGGGGGCGGGGCTGCCACTGATGCTGCTGCTCCCTGTTTGTCTCTCCGTCTACCTCTTGGGGATCGGACCTGAGCCTCAGCGGGACCCAGAATGGCCGAGACTCAGGTTCCCGAGGCACACTTTAACTTCCAGATTTGGGGCAGACTAGAGAAACAGTGTAGTGTAGAGGTTAAGAGCATGGCCTCTGAAGCCAATTGCCTAGGTTCTAATTCCAGCTCTGCCAGTTAACCAGCTCCTCTGTGCCATCACTTTCCACACCTATAAGGTGAAGAAAATAATAAGGTCTACCATATAGATTGTTGGTTATGATTAGATGAATGAGTATATAAAGGATGGCATCTGGCACGCAGGTAAACACTATGTGTTAGCTGACATTTCTACAAAGCTTGGAGCTCCCAGAAGGATTGTGATACAATGCGTAAGATAACAGAAGTCTGCGGATCCTAATTTCAGCTTTAAATTGTGCTCTGTCATCTGCAACCCCTATCTTTTTTCCTCATTGGGACACCTCCACTCTTTGTGGGCTGCCTGTTTTCTTGTCATATTCCCTCACTTATTAGCCATCACAGATTGGGTACAATGTGAGACTCGGGATTTTTTGAGTCAGTATCTATGGCTTCCCAGTTAACCCTTATCCCTCTCCCCCCATTGAAGGACCGAGGATTATTCCATTGTATTTTGTATTCTCCTCTCCCTGTGTCCTTTCCCTTTAACTTGTACCTCTCTAGGGGGGTGGTCCTGGTCTTCAGGAGCCATTGCAACTTGGAGAGTTGGACATCACCTGTGATGGATTCATCCTGGATGAAGTGGATGGTAAGTGATGGCATGGAATGGATGCAGAATACGTATAATCTGAGAGGTATGGGGGCTCAAACTAATAAGGCAGGGATTGGTGTGCAGGTGTTCAATGTGGGGAGAGGGAGCTGTGGAGCTGGACCCTTATGATAAACTTCTATTTACAGTTCACATTCAGGCAAATCTGGAGGATGAGTTAGTAAAGGAAGCTCTTAAAACGGTGAGGCTTTCCACTGTACTAATCTGCCCCTCCACCTACCCTCCCCTCAAAGAAAAATAAAAAGGAAACAGTGTCTTGCTTTTATAATACAACCCTGGTGTCTTAACCTCTTATCTAAAACAAGTCTTTTGTTCCTTCTGTTTGAGTGTCCCTTCACTGTGACTTCCTCCTGATTTGTCCCATTTATGTTCTCTCAGGGTGTGGATCTCCGTCACTATTCAAAACAGGTTGAGCTGGAACTGCAGCAGATTGAGCAGAAATCCATTCAGGATTGTATCCTCTAACAGGAAAGGGGTGGTGGTATGAAAATGGGGATTTTGTGCGTTGTGGTACAGATGGCCCAGTTAGGGCTGGTGTCTTCTCTCTCAGGTTTCTGTCACCTCAGGGAGAAATTGGACAGGTCCTACAGGTCTGAGGATCTCCATCTTCCTAATGAGGCCCCTTGACTTTCTGTGGGTCAGATATCCAAGAGAGTGAGAACATAGCATCTCTGCACAACCAGATCACAGCCTGTGATGCTGTCCTTGAGGTTAGTAACCATGACCTGTGACCCCTAGTAACCCTGAACCAGATCATGGTGTCTGGTGCCATTCTAGGTCATCAGCCTCAGGTGGGGACAGTTAGAGTCACTTTCAGTGTGACTACAGCAGCCTTTTTTTTTTTTGAGCTCCTGCCATAACGTATGTTATTTGCCAGTGACATTTGATGTACCTTTCCTTCAACACCCTCTATGTTCATGAGCTGATAGATCAGGGACTTCCCCAATAAACTTAGGTGGCCTGTTTGTCCTCTCCCAATCCTTTGGCACTCCAGCAACATCTTTTCTCCCCCCCAGCGCATGGAGCAGATGTTGGGAGCTTTTCAGAGTGACCTCAGCTCCATCAGCTCTGAGATCCGGACACTGCAAGAACAGTCCGGAGCCATGAACATTCGACTTCGAAACCGCCAAGCAGTTCGGGGGAAACTTGGGGAACTTGTCGATGGTCTGGTAGTGCCCTCTGCTCTGGTCACGTGAGTCACTAGTTTGAAGGGTCACAATGTCTCTACTAGGTTAATGGGGTAACCTATCCTGTTACCACATGGGTCTCCTGACTCCAGGTCATGAAGTGCTTTCCAGAAACTGATGGGTGGGTTGACAGCTCTTTATGCTTCAAGTATCAAAGATTAGGAATCATCCAGGGTCATGTGTGTAGTGATGGGGTCCAAGGCTTATGTGGTAGGGGCTCAGGAATAGAAAATTTTATACATATATTTTGACTATGTGATACAGCGTAAGAAGGGAGAGGAGACAGGCTGGATGTAAGGGATATTTTTTGAAGTCTAAGGATGTCTGGGTTCTTTCCTCACGCATCCTACCCCTTTCTCTACCCAGGGCAATTCTGGAGGCACCAGTGACAGAGCCTGGGTTCCTGGAACAGCTTCAGGAGCTGGATGCCAAGGCAGCTGCAGTCCGAGAACAGGAGGCTAGGGGCACAGCAGCCTGTGCGGATGTCAGGGGCGTGCTTGACCGACTCCGGGTCAAGGTGGGGGATGGGGAGGTCACCCCAGAGACTACCAAAACCAGCCTTCCTGACACCTTCACCCTGGATTTCCCCGGCAGAGCTCATTATAGCCTGTCCCCCAGTACTTCATCCTGCCTTTACCTGGCAGGACTCATCCTCACATCTTTGGGTCCCCTTGAAAATCTTAAGAAATAATGAAGAGGTATTCTCCACCCTTCCTCCTCTTATATTTAACATTTGTCACTTCATCCATTACCTCCCAAACAGTAAGAAGTTTGCAGCCTCATGTACTGTGTTTGGCCCCCCTGTCTAGGCAGTGACAAAGATCCGAGAATTCATCCTTCAAAAGATTTATTCCTTCAGAAAACCAATGACTAACTATCAGATACCCCAGACAGCCTTGCTGAAGTACAGGTCAGCACCAAAAGAAAGGGCTTGGGATGGCCTTGGAGCTTTCAAGCAGTTTGGGGTGGTGTCTGCTTTCTGGGACAGGCAGGGAAACTGCCTTGTCCCTGACCCCTCTAGGTTCTTCTATCAGTTCCTGCTGGGCAATGAGCGAGCCACGGCAAAGGAGATCAGGGATGAGTATGTGGAGACACTGAGCAAGATCTACCTGTCTTACTACCGCTCCTATTTGGGGCGGCTCATGAAGTTGCAGGTGAGGCCAAGAAGAGAGAGGTGTACCTGCGCACATGGGCTGGGAGGAGGGGCCACCTTGGGGCCAGGGGAGACAGCATCAGAAGAAACTTGTTTATCATGTGGGAAGAGATGGTTACCAGTTCTCTTTCCTCTTTTCTGTAGTATGAGGAAGTCGCTGAGAAGGATGATCTAATGGGTGTGGAAGATACAGCAAAGAAAGATATCCTAACGCCGAGGATCTCTCATACTGTACTTTGAGAGACAGGAGGCTTCTGGCTCTTCCTTTTTCTGTGGATGACAGTGTGATAAAGTCTGTGGCTTCCCTCCCAAGAAAAAGGCATACACCATTTTGACATAGAGTTTTATGTATGATGTCAGGGGTATAGAGACTCCCTGAAGCCTATTGGCAGATGTTAGGTGGCATGGGGCCCTGATACTAGGAAAGAGGGACATCCAGGCTGTGTGTACCCAGAGGTACTGAGTCTTTGATCTTCAATCACAGTTGTTATTTTACTGTTTTCCTTGACTCTAATCCTTCATGATTCTTCTCAAAGCCTTCCCTCCGCAGCAGGAACACCATTTTCACCCTGGGTACCCGCGGCTCTGTCATTTCCCCCACTGAACTGGAGGCCCCCATCCTTGTGCCCCACACTGCCCAGCGGGGAGAGCAGAGGGTAGGACTGAGGAGCTTCAGGCATGAGGGGATGCTGAGCATGGGTCAGGGAAGGGGGCCAGAGCTCAGGCAAAGCTTCCAGCCCTGCAGTCCCCTGTATCAGTTTTCTTAGACTTGGGAGTGGCTATTGCCAGTCAGCCTAGTGCCCTGTGTTGGGAAGAGGGTTGGGATTATTGACTTAAGGGCCTGCAGCAGGAGAGACTGGCTGAGGCATGTGTGGAGGTGGTTGGCACAGTAGCCACAGCAGGTGGTGGCTGGCTCTTGTGCCCCTTACCTCCCCCACCTCCTCAGTACCCATTCAGGATGTTCTTCACAGCTGGGACTTAGGTCAGAAGGGAAAAGTCTCCTGAGTTCATTGCTTAGATTTGCTGATTTTCTAGCCTTGTCCATGGGGAGTCAGTGTTGGGGTCTATCCCTCAGCCTTCTTTACCCCTCCCATCCTAGTATCCATTTGAGGCCCTCTTCCGCAGCCAGCACTATGCCCTCCTAGACAATTCCTGCCGTGAATATCTTTTCATCTGTGAATTCTTTGTTGTGTCTGGCCCGGCTGCACACGACCTCTTCCATGCTGTCATGGGCCGTACGCTCAGCATGACTCTGGTAAGATCCCTACCTCCTGTTCTCTCAGACCCGTCCTCAGTGGGTCTGCAATCGTGGGGTCATACCTCTGGTGGTACTGAAACCAGGACCCCATCTTCTAAAATGTATAAGCCTTGTACTCATAGTATGACTCCCCACAAAACTCTCAAGGCTTCAGGTCCTTGAGGCTATCCCTGCTGCTAATGCGCCTGAAAACTAAGGGGTCCCTAAATTTTTGTTCAACACTGAATTCTACTATTGTAGGCTTGTGATCATAGATCCTGGTGAGCAAGGCTGCAGTATCACCTGATTGCGGATAGGGAAGTGGGGGGCGTTTCCTTTTTAGATTCACTCCCCTCCCTCCTCTCAGTGCTGCATCCCTAAAGGAGCCACTAGGACCAGCAAAGTAACAAACATTCTCCCAATTCTCTGCCTGTTCATGAATCACAGAAACACCTGGAGTCCTACCTCATTGACTGCTATGATGCCATTGCTGTTTTTCTTTGCATCCACATCGTCCTCCGATTCCGAAACATTGCAGCAAAGAGGGATGTTCCCGCCCTAGACAGGTCACTGAGTTGTGGTTCTTGATGCCCCATTGGCCTTGAATTGTTGGTCTCACACAATCCTGCATTCTGACCCTTGGCTCCTGCTGACCTGCTACCACTCTCCCTTGTTCCTAGTCATCTACCTGGAGTTGGTACTGTTGCTTTCTGACTCAACTGTCACACCTAGTTGTACCTCCACCAGCTGTCTACCATTAATCGGTTCCCCCCTGAGAAGCCCTACCCACCCCCACATTCCTTGCCAACTGATGTCCGACTCTGATTAAGCCCACAGGTACTGGGAGCAGGTGCTTGCCTTGCTGTGGCCACGGTTTGAGCTGATCCTGGAGATGAATGTCCAGAGTGTTCGAAGCACGGACCCTCAGCGCCTCGGGGGGCTGGATACTCGGCCCCACTATGTGAGAGAGGGCAAGGGTAACAAAGGGGTTCCTGAAAGGCAGGGCTCTTAAGCTTTACTTGGGGGTTGATCACGTTCACAGTTGTGTCATGGGCCTGGCTGGCTGTTCAGCTGCCCTGGGCGAGGATGTCAAACTCTAAGCGAGGTGGGCACTGTCGGAAGGAGGGACTGGAGCTGGGGGTTGCGCAGAGGCTGCTTGGCCAGCTGCAGGGGGAGTTGGGAGATTGTTGGTTGGACCAGGGGGTTGCTGTGATTGCCTTCCTGCTTCCTTTCTCCCAGATCACACGCCGATATGCAGAGTTCTCCTCTGCTCTTGTCAGCATCAATCAGACAGTTCCTAATGAGAGGACTATGCAGCTGCTTGGGCAGCTGCAGGTGAGGGCGAGCAGGGCATGCCCAGCACAGGCTGCTGCAGCGGGCTGGGGGAGAGGAACTGGCGGCCCATGCGTCTTGTGTCACCTCCTCCTATTGGCCTCTTCAGGTGGAAGTGGAGAATTTTGTCCTCCGAGTGGCAGCTGAGTTCTCCTCGAGGAAGGAGCAGCTTGTGTTTCTAATCAACAACTATGACATGATGCTGGGTGTGCTGATGGTAACAGATGTCCCTTCTCCCTTTTTCCCTACTCTGAGGGCTCGGGTGTCCCCACTGCTCTGCTAGGAAAGCTCCGTGTGGAAAGAGATTATGTTGGTTTTGCTTGGTGTTTTAGGCTTGGAGTCTTGCCCAGTGTCTGGCTAAGTATATTAAATGTGAAAGGAAAGGGATATCCTGAAGCTAAGGGTTGCTTCTCTGAAGCTTGAGATTTTTCTTTGTTTTCCCTTAGGAGCGGGCTGCAGATGACAGCAAAGAGGTTGAGAGTTTTCAGCAGCTGCTTAATGCTCGGACACAGGTAGAAGTGTGGGGAAGAAGAAGGGGACAGTTTGATGTGCTGTTTTCAGTACAGTGCAGTGCGTGCGCGTGTGTGTAGGGAGTGGCAGTTAATGGACTTCAGGTACACAGAATTGGAATTATTATAACTCTTGGTTCACAACATGCTGTCATTAATTGGTTGATTTTATTTTCTTTTGTATTTTTTTTAATGATACAGTCACCCACAAGCCCACCATATACCGTGGAAATAACTAACATCAAACTATAAATTCCTCCTCACCCCATCTCCTTGCCTCTTATGCAGAGTTACCTGTTGACCTAGATGTTTTGTGTATCATGCTCTGCTTTTAAAAAATGTAGCTATAGGTATGCCAAAACAATAATTATTTAGTTTTGTTTTGGGGGGACATAAAAACAGAATCACAGGGTTTTTTCATGCATAGTTCTTCCAGTATTTCTGTATTATTACATATGGCTGTAACTTATTCTTTTGCACTGCTGTGTAATGTTAACATTGTGAATATAACACATTCTCTTGCAAGTGGACATTTGGATTATTTTTAGCTCTTTGCAGGAAACTATGGGAATTGTTTTGTAAACAGTTATGTCTTTTAGTGCACATGGATGTAGATGAGTTTTATCAAAAGTTTCTCTTGGAAGTAGGAGTAGGCTTGCTGCTTCTAGGGTTTGCCAGTTTTCAACTTTATGAGACAGTACCAAATTGTTTTCCTAAGTGGTTGTCAGTTTATTCTGTATTGGCAATATATAAGAATTCTCATCAAGCAGTATTTTCTCCAATATATGGTATTATCAGATGAACTTTGCCATTCTGATAGGTATCTACTTGGGGTCTTGATTTGCATTTTCTGATTACTAAACGGTATTGAGCATCATTTCAAATGTTAAGTAGACATACAAATTTTTCTTTTCTGTAAAACGTCTGTCATAGCATCTGACCATTTAAAAATTGAGTTGTGTTTTTCTTTTTGAATTTATAAGCATTCTTTATTTATCCTACTAACTACAAAACTAATCTTTTTGTTGATTACATAAGTTTGCAGGTATTTTTCAGAGTTTTATCTTTTTACTTTTTTATGTTGTCTTATAATGGACAAGTGATTTTAATATGATTGAATTTATTAATCTTTTCTTTATTTTTCTGTCTTGTTTAAAAATTTTCTTATTACTCCAAAGTCAGAAAAATATTCTACTACATTTTTTTCTCAATATTGTAGAATTTCATTTTTTATTTTTAAATCTTAAACTTACCTAGGATTAATATTTGTGTATGATGTGAGGTAGAAATCTAATTTACTCTTTTTCTATTTGGGCAGTGATTGTCCCATTTATAGAAAATCCCTTTTTTTGCCCTACTTGATCTGCAGTGCTGTTTCTATCACATAGCATAACTCCACAGATATGTGTTCTGCTTCTGATCTATTCCATTGATCAGTTTGTCTACCCTGCAACACAGTTAATTACTATGCTTTTTATAGGGCAAATCTCCTACTGTCTTTTTCATCAGTATCTTGAATATTGTTGGCCTTTTGATTTTTCATATACATTTTACAATCAGCTTGTAAATTTTCACTTAAAAAGCCCACAAAGGATTTTGATTGGAATTGCATTGGTCAATTTGGATCAGTTGAGACTTGACAATTTATATAGAAATTTCCTATCCATGAACATGGGCTACCTCTTCATTTTTAAAGATATTCTTTAATGTCTTTTGATAACCTTTCATATAATTTCAGCACAAAGACATAGCAAATCTTTGGTTAGAATTATTCTTAAGTAGGTATTATATACGTAGATTTAGTCCTACTAGGAATAAATAAATCCTTTCTAATTCTGTACCTTTAATTTCTTACATCTTTGATCTCTTACCATTCTGGCTAGGACCTCTGTGACAATGTTGAACAGTTGGATAGAAGGGTAGTACTGAGAAGCCCTGTCCTGTTTCTGATTTTAAAAGGAAAGCTCTCACTATTTCCCTGTAAGGAGTAATGTTGCTGTAGGTGTTTTTGTAGATGCCTTTATCAGGTTAAGAAAGTTCCTGTCAATGGCTAGTATGCCAAGAGTTACTGTTTTTTAAAATCATGAATGGGTATTGAATTTTCAATCAAGAATAGGTGCTTTTTCTGCAACCATTAAGGCAATCTGTTACATGGTATGTAACATTTGTAGAATTTAGAATGTTAAATCATTCTGGATTTGGTCTAATTCATTTAGAATTTCTGCTGCTTTGTCATAGGTGAGATTGGCCAGTGGTTTTCTTTACTTGTACTGTCTTGTCTGCTTTTGGTACCTGTCATACTGTATTAAAAGGAGGTGGGAAGGAAATATTCCTTATTTCTTTTTATGCTGAGAGAGTTTAAGATTGAAATGATCTCTTCCTTAAAAGTTTCATAGAATTTGCCAGCAAAGTCATCCAGAAAGACTTGAAACTAGGAAATTCCCCCTAGGTACTGCATCTATTGAATTCTGTAGGTTTGCATATGTAGCATTTTTATCTTTCAGTTTTAAGAACTTTTGTATTTCAAGTATTTCCTCTTAAGTGAATGAGATTTTTGGAGGAGTGTTTAAATTTCCAAAAGTTGTTTTCTTATTTATCTTTTTAAGTTAATGTCTAACTTGATTACACTGTAGATGGAGAATGTGGTTTTTTGGGTATCAATTCTCTGAATTTGCTTAGATTTGCTTGTGGCATAGTATGTGATCAACTGTTGGAAATGTTACATGTTTATTTGAGAAGAATGTGTGTTCTTTAATGGTCAGGTGTGGAGATCGAAGCTTCTTAATTAAAAGTTTAGGATCATTAGATCTTACTGGTGACTAGGAGCATTTGTCACTATGTAATGAGCCACCTTAGCCCTAATAATGTCCTAGAGCCTATTATGTCTGATATTAACATAGCTCCCCCAGCTTTATTTGGTTAATAATTGCCTCTCAATTTGTTTCCATTCTTTTACTTTCAGCCTTTTTATGTTTTCACATTTTTAGTATTCTGTAAATAGCATATAACTGGAATTTTTTAAAAATGCAATTGGGTTATCTCTGCCTTTTAATTTATTATTTTAACCTATTATGCTTATTATGATTATGTTACATTTGGATTTTTTTCTGCCGTCTTTAGTTTTCTGTGTCCTGTGTCTTTTGTGCTTCTTGACTTTGTTTTTCTTACATTTTTTTTCTAATTGTTTAGGTTTTGTATTCCATTCTTTTAGAATTTTTCCCTTAAATTTTACCTTGCATATTTATTTAGCTTAATTGCTAAACTTAATATTTAACCTCTTTCTCAAACAATATGTGGACTTGAAAACATTAAAAATGTTTTAATGCTCCAGTCACTGCCCCCTTCTGTCTTTCATGCTAATTATTGACCAGTATTTTGTTCCTGCCCTACTTTTAATTGTTTCCATTTTTATATAGTAATAAATAGTATTTATTTTGGATTTCCATGCATGTTTCCCAGTTTATTTGCTCACTGTTCTTTTTAAAACACAGATTATCTTTGTGGATTCATTTTCCTTCTTCCTGAAGTACATCTTTTAGAAATTTCTTTGTGAAAGTTTGTTGATAGTAAAACTCATTTGTGTTTTTATACAAATGTTTTTATTTCATCTTTGCTAGGAAAAGATAGTTTTCTTTCTTACTGTCAAATTCTAAGTTAACAGTTATTTTCTCTCAACATTTAGAAGATGATTTTTCAACTGTTACCTTAAATTGTTGCTGTGGAGGAGTTTGCTGTTGCTCTAATTATTGTTCCTTTGAAGGCAGTCTGTTCTTTCTGACTGTTCTTAAAGATCTCTTTTCTTGGGATTCTGAAGTTTTATCACAATATGTCTAGATGTGGGTTTCTCTTTATCTTGTTGTGTTTGGTTTTTAGATCTTTGAATTTATCTTTTTCATTAATTTCACATAAAATTCACACCCCATATCTCTTTAAACACTGTTTCTTCTCTCCTTCTGGGATCTGATTAGTTGCAGGTTAAACTTGCCCATTTTGTTCTTTTTAGTAAAAAAACATGTAATTAAAGGAGAAAGGAAACTTTTGTCCTCACCTGTACGGTTAGGGGACTAGAGGGAATGTTAGCTCTGCCTTCAGAAACGCAATTTTCTGGATGATGGACCCCCTCCGCCATCCCCATACCCCCGCCCCCAGTCCCACAACACAATGCACCTACATCCAGGACCTCTGCTGCGAGTGGCTCAGGCACTGTGGGTTTGCCAGGGTGGGGAACCAGCTGTTACCAGTGCCTCTAGCCTTTTTGGTGGAAGATCTGGTGGGAGGATTGCTAGCTGAAGCTCAGTTTGCTGTGTCTCTCTGGCTAACTCCACTGCTGTCAGAACTTTCTCTTTTGCCTGAGAGAGACCTTAAAGAGAGTTCATCCAAGTCGAGACCAGTGCTGTCCAATAAAATTATAATACATGCCACAATCATGAGCCACTTCAGGTATTTAAATTTTTCTAGTAACTACACTTTAAAAAGTAAAAAGAAACAGGTAAAATGATTTTAGTAATATATTTTAACTACTGTATCCAAAATATATCATAATCAACAAAAAACTAATAATGATTCATTTAAAAATATTTTCCATGGGAAGTCCCTGAAGCCTGGACTGTATTTTATGCATACAGCACATTTCAGTTCCTACTGGCCATGTCTCAAGTGATCAGTAGCTACTTGGGACTCATGGCTGCTGTGTTACAAAGCAGGTCATCCCTATTAGCTAAACTTAAAGTTTGCAGTCTACTCCCTGTGCTCTCCCACTGTTACATTAAGAGTGGGTTATTGCATTTAGACAACTATAATAGATTGAATTTGATTATTTAATCTTTGTCCAAAATCACATCACAGGTAAAGAAAAATGCCTGAATTATAGAAAGATTCATTCTTGGGAATGTCTTCCTAGTCTCATATTAGTTACCTGACAGCCTTCAGTAGATAGAAGTGGACATTTCGTGGGAAGAATAGAAAGGTTGTATTTTTTAATGAGAGTAGTTTATTTTTAATGGAGTAAATGTTTCATTGTCACCTTATCAGATCTTACTATCTGGCCTGGAATTTTTATTTTGTGTTTTTTCCCTTTTTTCCCAGCTTTATTTCAAGTTCTTCCTTTTTTTTTTTTATTTTAACTTTTTGTTATGGGAAGTTTCAAATGTACATGCCAGTATAGAGCATAGCATAGTGAACTCCACGTACCATCACAGATCTTCAGTCAATGACACTCACAAATAGTTTGTTTCATCTGTATCTATACCCATTGCTCACTCCTCCTGTGCCTCCTGCCTCCCAGTTTTTTAAAAATTAACCTATGCATCATTATCACTTCATTTGTATCAGATGTGTTTTAAAAAACCACATGTGTTACCATATTTTTAAAAAATTACCACACTTAAAAGAGCTAGTATTCGAATTTTCCCGATTATGTCATAAATGATTTTTATCATTCAAGTTAGGATCCACATACAGCACATAGATAGGTCTCTTTTTAATCTATAGATCTCCCTTCCATCTTTGCTCCCTCCTCCACAATATATTTGGGGAAGAAATTGAGTCATGTAGAATAACATATGGCCTAGATTTTGCTGATTGCAGTCCATGGTGTGGCTAAACTATTTCTCTTTTTCTCATAAATGTGTAATTACATGGAAAGGCTTGATCAGATTCCAATTACATTTTTTTTTACAAGGATATTTGAGAGGTAGTGGTGTGTACTTCCATCAGGGGCACATAATGTCTTGGCGTTCTTTTTGGCTGTAACCACCAATTATCACTATCTAGATCCATTAATTGTATTTCTACACCTCTCAGTGCCTTAGAATTTTCCATCTTCTTGTCTGTGCTGCATTCTGAGTAATTTCTTCAATTATAAAGTCTAGTTTATTGTATCATTCTTCACATATTTTTTTTAATCTGTTTACTTCTGAAAATAATTTTTAAAAATGTAAATCATTTCTTAGAAATTTCATTTTGCTTCAAGTCTGTTCCTTCCTAATCCTGGTGATCAGTCATCTTTATGTTTAACTTCTTCAAACATTTCATGCAGAACGTGCTACTGCATTTATGTATCTGACAGTACTAATGTTGGGAGTCTGGAAGTCTAAATTCATGCTTATTGTCTGTATTGTCTCTTATGGTAGTTTGCCTTCTTATGTGTCTCATGATCTTTGAATTCATTGTTTGATCTTAATCAGGGGAAGTCAGTTATATGGGTCTAAATTGGGATTGAAGATATTTTCCTTCAGAGAGGATTTGCCTCTGTTTTCACTGTAGCTGAAGATGCCATCCACCTGGGGCTACATTGGCACCTCTTTGACAAAGCCTCCTGCAAGAGACCCAGGCACAGCTTCCCCAGGCAAGGTTGGCTTTAGGCTGAGTTTCTAGATAGCAGTGTTGCCATGGCCATTTGTTTTCTGGTAGTCTCTCCCAGCTGTCCACCCCTCTGGCTCTGGTCCTGACTCCAGTTTCTTGTTGCTCTGCTCCTACCTCAAGTTTAGTTTTTTTGTTTTTCTTTTTTGAGGGGGTGAGGGGCCTCCTTGGAGGTTTCCCCTACCTCTTGTAAGACTGGTAGTAGTATACCTTTCCAGAGATTAGCTTTTCTGTGAAAGTGTTCCAAGGACCTGTTGGTCATGATTCCAGAAGTAGGAAGGTCTCTTGACACCAGGACACTCCACCCTATGTATATGTATATGTGTTTCTGCAGGAGTTCATTGAAGAGTTGCTGTCTCCCCCTTTCGGAGGTCTGGTGGCATTTGTAAAGGAGGCTGAGGCTTTGATTGAGCATGGACAAGCTGAGAGACTCCGAGGGGAAGAAGGTATGAGGATGCTGTGGTACTGGTGGTGTCAGTGCTAAGGTGAGTGGAAGTGAAAAATGAAGGGACACAGATTCATGGGGAGGTGGTAAAGCAGGAGAGGTTGGATGGTGAGGATGACTGTGCCTTGGAGAGGACTTGGTGGGTGTGAAGATCACTTCGTCCCTCTCTGACACTCTCTCTTTCCTTCTGCTGTTAGCCCGGGTTACTCAGTTGATCCGAGGCTTTGGTAGTTCCTGGAAATCATCAGTGGAGTCTCTGAGCCAGGATGTAATGCGGAGTTTCACCAACTTCAGAAATGGAACCAGTATCATCCAGGTGACTTGGAGCTCCCAGTCCCCACTCTTTCCCCACTCCCATCACTGATTCCTACCCCCCTTCTCCCTGGGCTCAGCATCATCCAGTGACCCTTGATTTTCAATTACCAGCTGTACCCAAAGTTCTGGATGAGCTTTAACCTGATTCCTCATCATCAGCCTTAGCACTACCCCACAGTCTAATCCCTCCGTAACTCTCTCTGACCAGGGAGCGCTGACCCAGCTGATCCAGCTCTATCATCGCTTCCACCGGGTGCTGTCTCAGCCCCAGCTCCGAGCCCTCCCTGCCCGGGCTGAGCTCATCAACATTCACCACCTGATGGTGGAGCTCAAGAAGCACAAACCCAACTTCTGACGTGTGGGACCCTTGGATCCACCCCCCTTTCCATGGACTCTTGTACCCCAGCCCATACTCTCCTTCACCTGGGGTTCCCCTTCCAGCTCTCCTCTCGCCTCCCAGTCCTCGATCTGCCTCACCCGGCCTTCATTCTCAGGATCCTGCCTCATCAGAATAAGCTGGGTCCTCTTGTCTTTCTGAATCTCCTAGTATCTTAAGGTTTCCCAGGACCATTTCATCCAAACTTCCAAAATGATCTTTATCATTTTCCCAGTTTTGCCACCCTTCTCCCAGGCTCTTTTCCTGCCCCAGTAAAACTTTCAATGCCTCATTCTCCGGTTTACTCAACTCTTATCACCATGTCCTGAGGCATGAAGCCTCAGCTCTTGGAGTTGATAGCAAAGCGAGACTGCCTCCAAGTCACTGATTTTTTTTTTCCACTGAAAGTGACTTGTTTTCTGTAGCTTTTTGAGCTAAGATCTCAGCAACTTGAACACTAACCAGTTCCCCTCCTGGGTTGAGAATTACTCCAAGGTCAGTCTGCAGAAAACAATAAATATTTAATATGACGTAAGTCTTGTCCCATTTCCTTTTTCCTCCTGTGAAGCCCTCAAGTGGCCCCATCTCTGCTCCAGGGTCACCTGATCTCTATGTCCTGGGCTTATCCCTCCTGATGGGTGTCCAGAAAGCAGGAGCACAGATAGTAACCTCTAACCTGTAGCTACTTCAGGCCAAAGAAGTGACTGCATTAGTTTTAGGGAGGAGACTATTTCATGAGTAACCCGCCCTTGTGGAGGAAGGTGGCCATTCTGGTTAAGATGGTAGATGCATCAACGGCTGGGAACATGTCTGTGCAGCCTCAGGCACTGTCCCAAGGGCTACCTTGGCTCCCCAACACCAGCTTTCCTTGTGTCCCAACGCCGCATGCTGACCCTGGGACTGCCTGTCCTCAGGCATCACCAGCCCCCTGGAGGGCTGTAGCACCCACACTATTGGGGCAGGGGTAGGCCAGGTTCAGTGTGTCCTCCTCATTCATTTGTTTGATTTGGTGCCTTCCAGCTGTCCTGCCTGTACACTTATTTGAATGAACTCAAGACTCATCTGGACAGACATGAGAGCGCCTTTAATTCCTAAGGGGGAAGGCACCGGTAGACAGGGGAAATGGTAGTTTAGGGATGTCTCTGTTTTCTTTACCCTTAAGACTTAAAAAAGATTCCTCCCAGGTCCTGGCGAGTGGTGGAAGGAGAACGTTTTATAGGGCCCTCACGCTGCGCACCCAACCTGCCGAGGCCAGGGGAAAGGGGGCCTCGGGAGCCGCGTGTGGCTGGGGAGCTGGGTCGGTGACAGCCCGGCTCTGGCGGGGAGAGCTGGGCCGGCGTGTTCTGGGGCGAAGCCTGAGCGGTCAGGGCCGCAGGCTCTCCCGATTGGCGGCGGAGGGGGAGGCGTGGCGGCGGGGGAAAGCCTCCTTCTCCCGCTCCCGCCTTTTTTGGGTTCCACCCCATTTTCTAGAGCTTCGTTCTGATTGGCTTTGGAAGCCGTATCAGCGCCTTGGCGTCGCTGCTGTTACGCATCTGGTTTTAGGGAGGAGCGCCAGGAGGTGAAAGTGCAGGGGCGGAGCTGTAACGTGTGACGTTGAGGGGGCTGGGGGCGACTCCTGATGAGTTCAGATGCCCCATGTACGGAACCAGGGCAGTGTCCTTACCTAACCTCACCCGCTGCGGTGGGCGCCTTCCCTCTCCTCTTGGCGTCCTTCCAGTTTTACCTTGCCTGACTTTTCGCCCCCGGCATTTTCTGAGGCCTGCCGGTGCTAAGCGATGGTGTGCTGGGCTCCACCTCGCATTCCTATTGCTTGTTCCTTGTTCACATACAGTCTCCCAACCTACCCCGTCACACACACTTCTAGGTATCCCCACAGCCTTGGGGGATCCGAACGTCCTCATGTTTGATCTGACTGCAGCCCCGGCGTCAAGACAGGAGAAGGGCCCAGTGCTTAGGACTTGGGACTGGCAAGGCGTAGGCTGCTTTTGACGAAGACAGCTAGTTCTCAGAGGAAGGGTCTCCGGATACCCCGCGAGAGAGACTGCCTCAGAGACTGAAGACTTCGTCGGAAGTCAGCTAATACACCGATGGGGGAAGGGCTGTGCAGGCTGGCATCTTGATTTTTCCCAGTTTTGACCTTCATTTCTCCTATACATCCCATCAAATGTTCAAATATCCGTCAAATATTTTAGACACGAACAATGAATGCGGTCTTTTGCAGACTTCACTGAGGGACAGTGCTGGAGATGATGAGGCTCTCTATCCTGGAACCCGGACTTATTTAAGTTCTATCGGAGCACAGAGTTTTCAGGGTCATCGAACTCTCCGGGGATCCGTAGGAACTCTGACCCAACAGTCTTAGGACGGGATGAAAAGGAGACAAGAGCAAAAACGGGTGCTGCGATGCCCGGGTTTAACCTCCAGGAGGCAGCATCGATCAAGACATGGAGTTCTGGGTTCGCAATCTCAGCTGCTTTGCTTTGCTCCTAAGGCTGTGAGGCTTTTCTCATACCCCCTTCACGCTGAAGCAACCAAGAGGCGTTTCCTTCAGCCAAAAGCCCTCACAACTGTGGCTTAGATGGGACCTTATGATCCACAGGCTGAAATTCGTAACTTCTGGCGAACATCACCTCCCCTCACATTTCTCCCTCATTTCTTTCCTTTTGTTGATGACAGACACACTGGCCTCACAGACCCAGAAGCATCTGGGATCACTGGTGAGGACAGAGCTCTGTCCAATACCCTCCTCCTAATCTCTAAGACAGTTGTCTATATCGGGTACAAGGGTAGCTGTTCTTACCTAGTACCATAGAGAAAGGACTTGGTGGTGTCCTTATGGGTTGTAACAGTGCCCCAATGCTGTTCAGGGATCTCTGTCCTATAAAAAAAAATCATCTCTATTTCTCCACCTGAGTTATTCCTTAACTGGGCTCTCTGGGAAACATGTACTTAATGTTCCACAGCTCTGTTTCTGTATAATGTGGGGGTGCCTATCCCAGCATCAATTTCAGAGCTATTGAATGTGGACATGTACCCTAAGGACGAAAGAAATAAGCAACGTCCTCTTTTCTTCCCAACCTATCATTATGGAAACCAGCTCTCCACTTAAGAACGGTGGTTTTTCTCATTTCAGGAAATCAAGCATTAGAAAAAGCAGGTAAAGTGACTGGGTACCAACATAGATTTTGGGGGGAAATTCAAGGAAAGGAGAAAGACAAAACCTTGAGGGGAAGAAGAGAGATCAACTCTTCATCCTGGGAATATGGATACAGCAATTCATGTTGCATTTTAGAATTACAGAGTGTTTTCAGGTATAGTATTCATTAAATCAAGACATATTTATTGATCCCCTTTCCTGTGTTCTGAGATAGGCACTGTGAATTCAGCAGAAAATAAATCAAAGTCCTTGATCTCATAGAGCAGATGTATCATCTCACTGCCCTGTGAGGAGGTTCTTTCTGTTTTTGTATGCTTCAATAAGTAATGAGCCCAACATCACACAGTGCCTCTGGCTTGGACCTTCTGTGCCCATATTCACTTTTGGTTCCATGACTCCTGGCTTGTAGTCATGGAGCTGAGGAAGCAGCTGGCTGCTGAGAAACAATACATTAAGAAGTAAGAGTAAATTATTGGAAGGTATTTGCAGAACTAAAAGAAAAACTAAACAGGCAGGCTTTGGAAAGGATAGAAGCAAGGACAGTTCCAGGAGGATCTAGGTAGTAGGGACCAACGGCCAGAGGGGCAGGGAGCAACATGTTCTGACCTGGCTCCCTTTCTATTCTGAGAAATCACTCGTTTTTGTGCAAGGCTCTTAGCCAGGACCACAAAAGACTGTGAACGAAAGAAGAAATAGCAAATAAATAAACAAACAAACAAATCCCAAAGGATCTATGAATGAGGATAAGTGAAAATTACATTTGATTTTTACTAACCTTGAAAGGAAATTTAGCATTTCCTCCAGTGATAAATGTAGGCAACAAACAGCAGATTTAGCAATACCTGCAATGGTCAACAGTGGAAATCAGACATTTTCATGTCAGCTGCTAGTTGTTGCAGAAATTTCAAAATGTCATGTGTGTCCATTGTTGCTTTGTAGTTAAAGTAGTTGTTAGGCCTACCACTAAATGTTACTATCATATGATTGTTTTTTATTTATGATAACTGTACTTCAATACAACCATTTTCTTTTGTATCTATGTATCTTATTTTATACAGCTGAAAACAATTCTGATACTCCATGGATTTCACCAGACTGCCAAAGGAGTCCAAAGCATAAAAAGGCTAAGAACCCCTAGAAGTCTGATGAGATGGTGTAGTTTCCTGTTTTGTGTTATTTTACAACCCTTGCAATTGAGAAGGTTTTCTTCATGTTTAAACTAAATGCCCGCTTGTGTAATTTCTGCCCATATTTTCTTGTCTCCTTAATTATTATTCAATTATTCATTCATCCATCAAATATTTAGGAAACACCTCTCTTGTACAAAACTATGTTGCACAAAACTATGCTACTATGTGTAAAATAATGCTCACTCACCATGGGTTCCGGTGGGGGCTCCCAGTCTGGTAAAGGAGCCAGACTGTTTACTCACGTGGCCCACACAGGCTGCAAGGGCAGAGGGAGGGTTGCCCCAGTGCAGGCAGTAAGGTGTGTTGCCTATAGAAGATTTTAAAATAAAACTAAAACCTACTTTTTTTTGTTACCATTCATCCTCTATTCCACAATGCTAGTGACAAAATACTCCTCAACCCTGCTTGGTATGCCACTCAACCCTGCTTGGTATGCCACTGCACACAAGGCAGTTTAACCATATCCACTTCACACACACACACGCGCACACCTTTTGAGACTCCCCTTTCCCCTCTCAACTCCCGGTCTCACCTCTCCCTGTGTAGGGTGGGATCTGCAGAGCTGCTGGACCAGCACCCTCCAGGGTGAGTTTCCAAGCCCTGTAAGCCCCAATCCCACCCTCCCTGAGTGACAGTAATCTAACTGCCACATATGAGTCCTTACTCCATTCCATTTCCACTTTGTTGAATGTCTTCATTGAACATTTCCTTTTCTATTTTATTGGTGCCATCTTTGTATTATTTCTCCTATTTGCTGTGTTTGAAATCCATATGCTGACCTTTTTCTAGTGTCTCAAGATGATCTCAGATCATTGGTTTCCATCTCCTGTTCAAACATATGGATTTAATTATATGTGCCCCTCTAAACACTGTTTAGTTGTATCTAACACGTTTTGATATGTTTTATCTTCTCATTATTATTCAGTTCAAACAATTTTCTAATTTCTATTGTGGTATTTTCTTTACTCCAAGGATTATTTAGAAGCATATTGCTTGAGATCTAAGCATTTTGATATTTTCTTATTGTGCTACTGATTTCTGCCTTTCAGTGAACATAAACTGAATTGTTTCAATTCTTTGGCTTTTTCTGAAGCTTTTTCTCTGATATAGCATGGGATAATTTTGATAAATAAAATTTGCTATACACAAATATGTGGATTCTTTTGCTGTTGGGGGAAGAGTTCTATATTTGTCAAATAGGTCAAGTTGTTAATTGTGTTTTTCAGATGTTCTATATCCTTACTGATTTTTCTTTGTATTTTTTTCTTTTCTATCAGTTATTGAAAAAGTGCGTCAAAGTCTTCTGCTATAAATGGGGATTTTCTATTTTTTCATTTATTTAATTTTATCAAATTCTGTTTTGTATATTTAATATATTTTGAATACGTATTACATTGGATTTGGGAAAGGGAAAGAGTCATGAGTATATGTAACTTCAGTATCATATTGTTTCTCAAATGGAATTAGGATCAGGGTTCAACTTTAAGTTCAGCATCTGGATCAGAATCAGAGGAGGTTGACACTGTCTTGGGGGGATGGGGTCTGGTGGGAGAAACCCAAGATGCAGCTACAGAGATGACCACCGAATGCTCAGTGTCTTGGACTCATCAGGGTGGCTGAGAAGCCTCAGTATAGATCACATGCAGGAAAGGAAGGGGCAGCAGCTCCTTGAAAGGAACCTGGATAGGCCAGGTCTGGAGCAAGTGGACAGGAGACAGGAGGTCCCCACGTCTGCACAGGGAAGATCCAAGAAGACTTTGTCCTACCATTTCTGTCCCAGGATACTCTGTGGGGCCCCACTATGAGAACAGGGCATAGGATCACTTCTTGGCCCCTGGTTGGCCTCATTAATAGTCCAGTGTAAGTTCTGCAAACGTAGCATTCTTTAGGCACTGTCGCCAGCTCTTCATATGGCCCTGTGCTTGAGCAATTGTCTTTGACAGTAGGTGATTCTGTTCTTCATCTCCAGATGTACCCTCCCATCCCTGTTTTTATCGTGTGATAGTTGAAATTAAACTCCCTAGCCCATCTACTCTATTGCATTGCTGTTTCCACGACGCTCTGTATTTTCTGGCTCTGACCCAGCGCTCCATTTGCCCCATCCCTAAGCTACCCTCATGCCCTCTAATGAACTGCAAATCTCCTCATCCCCTTTACTTCTCCGAGTGCTCCCTTCACTTCCTGGCTTTAACTGAAATATAACTCTCCCTTGAGGGCACTACTTCCTCTGCAGGCCTCTGAAATGGGAACTGTTTGTTTTCTTATTAGGGGAGGGTGCTTTTCTTGCTCCACGTTGCTGCCTCCAGACTCCTCCTCCTCCTCCAACCCCCACTTTGTGCTTTAAAATAACCCCCTGCCTCTGAGGCTCAGCCATTGAGCTCAGCTGCCCTCTTCCTTCCTCTTTGCTATCATCTGTCCCCTGTTAGACCTCTTCACCTCACTCAGTTGGATGCTGGCACCTGGCAGAATGTCTATTTCTTCTCTACTAATTGTCTGCGTGGAGAACTCATTCCCCACCTGGTCTCTCAGCAACATGTGACTCCATTCCCAGGAACGTATGTGCTCCAGATCAGCCTCTCATTCTCGTTTTCACACCTTGGACCTTGTCAGCTAAAGCAGCCCTCCTCAAGAGTCACTCGTTCAAGCAGCCGGCCCAGCCCCCATCACCTAACCTTCCCTCCTTTTGTCTGTCTACTCCTTTCACCATCTATCAGCCTTCTGGGACCTCCAGGTCAAGGATGCCTCCCTTCCTCCATCGGTCAGCTCCTCCTTATCCAGCTTGTGACATAATAAGTCAAAAGAAATACATATTTGGACCAAATATGTATTTCCTAGGTATATTTGGTTCTCATTCGCAGTTTCTGAAAACACTGGAGTCTTAAAGGTGAAATGACTGTTTTGTCCTGTTAATGAAGACTTTTGGACCCGCCCAAGGGCAGGGCCGGAGGCCGAATCAGCCAATGGCCAGTGATTAAGTCAGGACTAGGCAATGAAGCCCTTGCAAAACCCCCTGAGAAGAGCTTACCACTCTTTGCTGTCTTGGATCCTGCTTCTCAGTTGGAGAGACCTTCTAAGCCTGGGGAACCAGAACGCCTCCACGGGACACGGAGCCAGGCCCCAGGCCCCACAGGGATAGAAGCTCCTTTATTTGGGACCTTGCCCTCTGTATCTCTTCATGTGGCTGTTAACTTGTATCCTTTATGGTATCTTATTAAACTAGTAAAGGTACGTGTTTTCCTGAGTTCTGGGGGCCACTCTAGCAAATTAATGAAACCTAAGAGGGAGGTCAAGGGAACCTCCAATCTGTAGCTGGTAGGTCAGAAGCACAGGGAACCACGTCTGGAGTGGGGGGTGGAGAGCAGTTTTGTAGGAGGGAGCCCTTAACCAGCGTAATCTGGTGCTGTCTCCACATACTTACACACATTGGAATCCAGTCCAGGGACTGGAATGGAGTTACACTACTGTCACTGCATAATATTGTATGATATTATGTATAATATAATTGTAATATTAATAAAATATTATATAATATTATACACTGCATTACACTGTATAATATTGTTATTGTTTTATATATATATATAGGAAAACACACCTGTGCACAGCTTCAACTGCATGAACATTCATTTCAACGGCTGTCTTGACAATATCCTGAACTCCCTTGCCCCTCTGTATTTTCATCCCCTGCACTTACCTGGCAAAACCCCACCCCTAGATGAACCCAGTGACATTTCCCTCAGGGTCACTCTGCTAGCTCAGAAGTGTTGAAGGAAGTCATGCAACCAAGAGATGGTTACCACTCCTCACTTGTGGCCATCCACCCTACGGTGGACCCAGCCACATCAGGCTGGCCATTGGCTACTTTAAAATCCCTGGTCTTAAACCTACAAGACCCCTCTCTCTGTCTCTCACCTCACTCTTGGCTGATGATCTTGCTCTTATGTCACCAAAAACTGAAGCCATCAGAGGTAAACTCCCTCAACCACCTGTTCCCAACTCCATACTGCTCCTGTGCCCCCCTCCACTCGTTCCTCATGTCAGAAGAGAGAGATGGTTCTCCAACTCAGTATGTGTCATAACTGCCTGGAGGGCATGTTAAAACATGTTTCTGATTCAGTAGTTCAGGGTGGGGGACCAGAATTTTCATTTGTCACTAGCTCCCACCTGATGCTTGACACTGCTGGCCTGGGGACTCCACTTTGAGAGCCACTGGAGCAGAGGAGCTGCCCTTCTACCCAAGGCAAGTCTCTCCGATCATGTTCTGCATCCCATTTCCTTGATTATTGCCTCCCCCCCAATATTCAAACTCTCCCTCTCAAAACAAAACAAAAACAACCCCTCCCACCTACCTCTTCCTCTGACACTCTGTTGCTTTCCGTCACCTAATCCAGCCTCACTTGCAGACACAGTACATGTACCTTGATGGGATTCTGGTTTGAAAAGACATATACAGGAGACATTTTGGGGTTAGTTGGGAGGAAATTTGAGTGTATTCTCTACATTAGGTATTAGGAGCCTGATGTTATTTTCTTAGCTATAATCATGGCATTGTGGTTAAATGGGAGAAAGTCCTTATTTTACAAGATGTATGCTGAAGTATCAGAGTGTGAAGCATCATGAGATTTCCTAAATTTTACATGGTTCAAGAATATATGTAAATACTTGAATATTTGTATTTGTCTATAAATGTTGGAAGTTAAATCTAGGTAAGTGGTGGATATACAGTGATAATTGTACCGTAGTTTCAACTTCTCTGTATGTTTGAAACTTTTCATAAGAAGTTGGGGGAAAAATGATCTCTCTATTCCCTCACTTCTGTCCGCTCCTCAACCATTCTGGGCTGGCATCCGCCTCTCCCACATCACTCAACTGCTTTTGCAATGACCTTCATGGCTTTTTTTTGTTTGCCTGGCTGAATTCCCAAACCATATTCGACACTGCTGACCAATTCTTTTGTGAAACACTGCCTTTCCTTGGCTCCCAGGACTGAGCCCTCCTCTGGTTTTCCTCCTTGCCCTCGGCCTGCTTATTGCTCCTTTGTTGGCTCATCCTGCCCTCTGGCCACACTGGAATCCATCACGGATCACTGAATCCTGAACCCCTCCTCTCCGTTCAGGAGATTGATCACACCTGACCCTGGCTTCAGTTGCTGTCAGCTTATCACTCTTAAATTTCTATCTTCCCTCTTATCTCCAGACTCATGTATCAAGACTGTCTACTCAGCATCCCCTCTTGGATGTTTCAAAGGTACCATAAACAGCATATTCCAAACTGAATCATGATCTCCTCCCACAATCAGTATCATCCTCAGATCTGGACCGCAAGGGCCCTGCCTTGCCCCACACACTTTAGGGAGCCTCACCCATCACACACATTTATTAAATGGCACGTGGACACCCTGTCACTTGGGGTCCAGCCCTCCGTGCTGGCATAGCTCAACCTGAAACCCTGAACATCTGCCCTCATAATTATCACCATTCAAGCTCCAAGGAAATGCTTTGGCAATCTCTCCCCTTGTATCTTGGAAACAAGATGACTACAACTGAATCCTATGAAAGTTAGAGGTTGTGCTTTGCTAGATTCCAAGGCACACCCTGTAAGTGTAGGGAGGATTTAAGTGGTGAAAGTGCTTACCTCTCAAATAGCATGATAAATTATCATTTCCCAGAAGAGTTGAGTGTCCACTTTTTTCCTTCTGTTTATGTGCTAGGGGTATCTATTCATGTTGGGCTGCATTCACAATAGTTGGCAAATACTGATAATAGAGGAATATTTTGCAATACTTGATGATTCTTATTACTGTTAAATTTGTATGCATGCAGGTCCAGACATAACTTTTGTGAAGTTGATCTCTATATACATCCTCTATGATACTGATTCTCAATACTGGTAAATGAATGAACATGAATACTAGATTTTGAAGACTTTGATTTCTATAAAGCTATTTAGTAAAGATTTTGAAAGTAAGCCAAAAATCAGTTTTATTTAAATTAGATTTAAAATATTAATATTATTAATTTTACCATGTATTTTTTTTTTCAATAGATAATTTTGAACACTTTAGAAGAAAATAACCCTGACAACATATTAAAGTGATCTTAAATTTTTTTACATTTACATATTTTGGTGAAAATACATTTAAATTTTGTAAACTCTGGCTAAATTAGATTTTATTTTTAAATCCTAGATCATTGAGAATGAGTACACATTGAAATCATGATAGAAATAGAAACTATGAATATGGAACTCAAAGAAAAAAGCTGAAAATAATAAAGAATATTTTCAAGGAAGCAACCTACTTAAATTTTTTAAAAGTGGGGAAAGACAAATGGAGGCCACAATATCGTCCCTGTTTTGACACAAAATTAAATCAGTAACGAATATAAAGTTGCATGGATTTTGTCTGACCTGTTCAAGTTGTAGATTTGATAAAACACTTTTCAGGCTCACTTTCATCCAATCTACAATCTGAACAGGCAGATTAAATCCCTGCAATTTCATATTCCTTATTTGTACTTTTGTCCTAGGCCCTCAAACATCAAGATACTCTCTTTCCCTCAGGAGTCTTGTCCCCCAGGAACCCAGCCATCCTGTTGTGCTGGGGTAGCAGCCAACATGTTTCAACAGCGGCCAGCATCAGCTGCCAGACAGACACGTGAGTGGACAAGTCTTCAGATGATGTCAGCTCCCAGCCAGCGAGACCCCAGACTTTGTGCTCAGTCCCCAGACTTTGTGGAGCAGAGACAAGGGGTCCCACTGTGCCTACCCAGTTTCCTAATCCATAGAATCCAGGGGAGTTAATGTATGGTTATGGTTCAGTTGTAAGCCACTAAGGTTTGGGCACTTTGCTGCACAGCAGTGGATAACTAATACAGCTCTGCAATTCACTGCATTCGGCTCTACGCCTGCCACCCTCCCGTGGAAGGGGCTCTCCCTAAGGTAACCATAGATGGACCTGTTCATTGCCAAATCTCGTGGATATTTTTCATCTTCATTTTGGTTTTCTTATCTGGAGCATTTGATTCTGTTTTCTACCCTGTGAAGTTCCTTTCTCTGCTGATTTTTGTGAACCGCTCTCTCTCTCTCATTCTCATTTCTCCTCCTACCTCACTGACTCTCTCAGGCTACTTTCCACGCCTTGGCTCAGGCTCTCTTCCCTCCTCACCCACACCCTTCTTTAGCACTCTCACACCCTTTGCTATGCTGGTGACTCCTAAGTGCACATTTCTAGCTCAGATTCCTCTCTTGACCTCCACTCCCCAGATTCCTTCCTCTCTTGACCTCCACTCCCAGATATCTGTCTCATGAATCTCTCCATCTGAATGTCTCCAGTTGCTTAAAAATTAATGTTTCAATTCAAACTTAACAAGCAAGTATTGAATATCCCCAAATTTGAATTTGTCTTTTCTCCCAAACCTGCTCCTTCTCCAAGGTTCCTGGTTTCAGGAATCACCAAGCAACCAGCTGCCCAAGCCAGGAAGCTGGAAGGCCCCCACCCCAGGTCACACTCTTGCTCTTCACCCAGGTTCTAATCACAAAATCCTAGCAATTTTGCTTTCCGGCTTATTACCATATCTGAATCTCTCCAACCCTGCTGCCACTGCCTGCCTACCAACATGGCGTTTTCCTCCTGGCACCATGTGCCCATCAGCTTCACAAAAGTGAACCACAAACACTCCCTGGGCTTTGCAGCCAGTGCTCAGGACCTTTCCTGGTCATTCTTGACCTCATTCCCCCATCTTGCCTCTTTCCAGCGCCTAACTCTCAGCTATCTGACCCTAGCCTTAATCTCACCTCTGGACCTTTAGATTCCTGGGTTTGAACTTCATTTTCCCGTCAGGTTATGACCTGGCTTCAGTGCTCTCTGTGTGTCAGAGTATTCAACCTTGTTCTGCCCCTGAATCTAACTCCCAGTCTCAGCCACTTGGGCAGACACAGGTGGCCTGTTCAGTTCCCAGGAAAGACGGAATGCAGCACTGTTTAGGTGTCCCCACCTAAACCTTTGGAGATGTCTTCTTACTGGTCTGCTTCCAGCTTTGCCATCCCCTCTTAAGCCCACAGCTGCCAGAAGGATGTTTCTGAAGTGAAAAGTGGAACATCTCACTCTCCTATTCACAATTCCTTAATGGTTGCCTCTTCCCTTCAGGTAAACTCTCTACTTTTTCACCTGGAACACAAAGCACTTTGGGATATAATGCAATATGAAGCTGTAGTGTCACTACAATATTGCAGAAAGAGCACAGGCTTTGCAGAGCTGCCTCTAATCTTGGCTCTGCCATTTGTTGGCTGTGTGATCTTTGGCAAGTTAACTAACCTCTCTGGCTGCAACTTTCTCATGATGTATAAAATGGGAGAGGGACATTTTTCCAAAGAAGAAATACAGATAGCCAACAGGCACATGAAAAGATGCTCTACATTCCTTATCATTAGGGAAGTGCAAATCAAAACTGTAATGAGGTATTACCTCACACCAGTTAGAATGGCTATTACCAAAAAGATAAGAAATAACAAGTGTTGGTGAGGACGTAGAGAAAAGGGAACCCTCCCACAGTGGTGGGAATGTAAATGGGTGCAGTCACTGTGGAAAGCAGTATGGAGGTTCCTCAAAAAACTGAAAGTAGAAATACCATACGACCCAGTAATTCCACTTCTAGGAATTTACCCAAAGTAAACACAGTCCCTTATTTGAAAAGATATATGCACCCCTATTTTTACTGTTGCATTATTTACAGTAGCCAAGATATGGAAGCAAACTAAGTGTCCATTAATAAATGAATGGATATACAGTGGAATATTATTCAGGCATAAAAAATCTTGCCATTTGCAACAGCATGGATGGACCTGTTATGGTAATTGAAATAAGCCAGGTGGATAAAGACAAATACCAAATGATTTCACATATTTAGGGAATATAAAAAACAAAACCAAAAGAACAAAATAGCAGTAGACTCATAGATACTGAGAAGTGACTGGTTGTTACCATGGGGAAGGGGTTAGGGTAGGTGGGTGAGGAGTATGAGGGAGATAAAGGGGCACAAAAATTCTCAATCATAATATAAGTTGGTCACAGGGTTGGTAGTGCAGCATGGAAAATATAATCAATGAATCTGTAACATCTTTCCATGTTAGCAGAGTAACCACACTAGAGGGGGTGAGGACTTAGTAGTATGGGTAACTGTTGAACCACTGTATTGTATACTTAAAACCAAGACTGTATATCAATGATGCTTTAATTAAAAAATCATTTAAAAATGAGATAAGTATGTTGTGAGGATTAGAGATTAATATGCTTTTATGAAGCATCAGTTATAGTGCTTGGTACATAGTAAGTACTGAATAAATGTTAGACATTATTATCTTCAATTCCTCCCACCTTTGTACTTTTTACAACTAACTTACTTGGGAAACTTTGATTACAGCATAGTTTTTCATTATCCAAGGAATGTACATGCTTTTCCCTCTACCTGGAATGTTAACTACTTACTATCCATCGCCCCCTCCACAAAAAAAGCCAGTGTATGCCTTTTTCAAGAATTAGCTCAAATCTCAATCCTATGAAGCCATTTCTGAACCTTCTAGGTAGAGTGAGTTCTCGTTTTCCTTATGCTGCCTTCTTTGGTTATCTGTTGCTGCTCAACAAGATACCCTAATATTTAGTGCCTCAAAACAATAGAAATTTATTGTTTCTCACAATTCTGCAGATTGATTGGTCAGTGCTGCTTCATTTCGTGTTAGCTGGTTCATGGGGGTAGTTGGACAATCCAAAACAGCCTCACTCAATTGGCAAGCAATTGATTCTGGCTTCTGGCTCAAGACCTGTTGTCATCTATTGGCCTCCCCCTGAGGCTGCTTGGGCTTCCTCACAGCATGGCAACTGAGTTCCAAGGAGATGTGTTCTAACTGGCAAGAGCAGAAGCTGCAGATCTCATAAGACCCAACCTTGAAAGTTACACAGTCACTTCTGCCATAGTCTATTGGTCAAAACAGGTCATGAGGACAACCCAGATTCAAGGGAAGGGGAAACAGACCGTATATCACAATGAGAGAAGTGACAAAGGATTTGCTGCCTTCTTCAATCCACCACACTCCCATTGCACTGTTACTCACCTTTATTATAGCTCTAATTACATTGTAATTTTAAGATCTGCTCATGCTTCTGTCTTTGTGCCAGCCTCTCTTAGACCTCAAAAGTTAGCAACTCACTCAAGTATTTCATGTGGTTCACAGTGTGCCTTTATTATTCTTTTGAATTAATTGCAACACTTAAAAAAATGGAGAGATTTTACAGAAAAATTGGGACCTATAGTTTCTCTTGAAAAAAATTTTTTTAGTGTGGCAAAGCTAGTTCTTAATTTTTAATGGCAACACCCAAACAGGAGCTGTTGCTTTTCCAAACAGAGAGGTGCTCTCAGTCTGTTACAACCTTACCTTGGCACTTAGGACATTACCTGCTTGGCCCTTACAGGAATATGGGGTTGCAGTCCTTGATTTAGCTCCCTGAAAGCAGAGTCTGTATCTTCTCATACTGAGTTCTTTCACTGCTGAAGTGAGGTTCTTACGAGATTTTTTTTTCCTATGAGATTTTAAAGATGAATATTAAAAAAAAAGTTATATGCGGCTGGAAGTGATGCCTAACGATAATAATAGCATCATCATCAACAACGACTTCTAAAATAGTTACTCTAAGCTGGGTACTGTTTTAAGTACTTGTATTAACTTCTTTAACTCTGACAAGGATGCTATGAGGTAGGCACTTTTTATATATTTTCATAGATGAGGAAACTGAGGCATACAGCAGTTAAGTCATTTGCCTAAGATTAACAAGTATAAATAGGAAGAGTGAGACTTCACATGGCAGAGAATAGGTAGGGAAGTCAGATTTTTTCCCCTCCATAACCACCATTGTACTTTTCTAAAGAGACTGACATCTAACTTTCATTCAATATCATCCCATTTATTAGCTCATTTAATCATCACAACAACCAAATTAAGCAAATCCTTACTTCAGCATCACCTCTTTTGGTTTGTATCTTTTTGTTAAAATAAAAAAAGCACTACAGTGATTGCTAAAACCCATCCCATTTCTCTCCTTCAGTGGTAATTATCATTCTGAAGTTGCTGGGAATCATTCCCAAGCATATTTTGTAGTTTTAACAGATATTTTTTTCCTAAACAAGTATCATGGTTTTGAACTTACATAACTATCATACAACATCCATTTTAACAATTATCTTTTATTCAATGCATTGGTAAATATAGCCACAATTCATTTAATTGCTGTGTTAAAATAAGCAGTCCATTGTAACAATAAACCATACTTTATTCATCCAATTATTTACCTTAAGGATAGATTTCTTACACCTTTTCTTGACAGTCAAAAGATACTGCAATGCACGTCCATCAATAGATGACTAGATAAAGAAGATGTGGCACATATGGAATATTATTCAGCCATGAAAAGAAAAGAAATCCTGCCATTTGCAACAACATGGATGGAGCTAGAGGGTATTATGCTCAGTAAAATAAGCCAGGCAGAGGAAGACAAACAGCATATGATTTCACTTATTTGTGGAATATAAAACAAAGCAAAACAGAAGGAACAAAACAGCATTAGACTCAAAGACACTGAGAAGTGACCAGTGGTTACCAAGGGGGGCAGGGGAGAAGGGGGAGGGGGACTGTTGAACCACTGTGATGTACAGTTGATAAAAAAAGAAAGATACTGCAATGCACATTCTTATCCTTGCCTCCTTGTGTACATATAGAAATGTTTGAGGAATGCATCTAGAATCAAAGTTGCTAGGTATTAGGGTATGTGCATTTTCAGCATTAAGGATTGCTAAATTTATTTTCAGATTTGTAATAGCTGTTTACACATCAACCCAAAACGTGTGATTTCTTATTGTCCCACATTTTTGTCAACACTTGGTGTTATCAGAAGTATTTTAATTTTGCTGACTTAGTATGTATAAAATAGTATCTCATGGTTTTGATTTGTTTATTATAAGGTTGAGCATTTTTTCATTTATTTATTGGCCATTTGGATTTCTTGTTTGGTGATCTGCTTATTCATTGCCTCTTTTCATTTACCCTACCTTGTCCTTTTCTTATTGATCAGCAAGAGTTCTTCATAAATTCTAGATACCTATTCTTTGTTGGTTATATAGGCTGTAATTATTGTCCATGTCCACAGCTTGTCTTTTTCTTTTATTATGTCTCTTGTCTTACGGAAATTAAAAAATAGTTTATACTGTAGTCATATGTGTTAATCTTTCTTTTTATTGGTGCATTTTGTATGTTGTTTAAGAAATCTTTCCTTACTCTGATGTGAATTTATTATATTTTCTTCAAACAGTTTTAAGTCTTTTTTTGTGAAATAGGCTATCTGAAATTCATTTTGGGGTATGTTGTAAGGTAGGGATCTATTTTTTTCCCATTTGGATAGCCAATTAACCCAAGAAAATGTAACAAATAATTTATCCTTTTCCATTGATGTATTACTTTTGTCATATACCAGTCCTTCTACCTGTGAGGGTCTGATTCCAAGAAGTTCTACTTTGTGCTAGTGGTCTGTTTACTTACACATGTGCCAGGACTACACTGTTTTAATTATTCTAGCTTTAGAGTGAAGTTCTGATATGTGGTAAGGCAAGAACTCTGGTATTCTTTCATCTCAAACTTGTTTTGGCTTTTCTTGGCCATTTCATCTTCCATAAGACTTTTAAGAACAGTTTGTCAAGTTCCACAAATTATCTTGTGGTTTTTATTAGAATTGCACTAATTTATAGATTTGAGGAAAATACCAGCTTTATATTGAATTTTCTCTTCATGAACATAGTATATCTCTCCATTCTTGTATGTCTTCTTTTCAAAATGTTCTCCAATAAAGTTTTACAATTTCCTCCATAAAGATCATGCACATATTTTGTTATACTTATTCCTAAGTATTTTACAGTTTTTCTTCCTATTACAAGTGGTATTTTCTTAAAAAAATTTTTCTATTTGTTTACTGCTCTGGTATAGGCATATTGATGTTGGAATATTGATCTTGTCCCCAGAGGGGTGTATTGGTTCTGATTACTGTGGGCTTTGTAAATTTTCTTTGTCAATAATCAATCATCTATGTATAGTGATGTCTTTATTTCTTCTTTTCCTTAATGTGCCAGTTCAGACCTCTCAGCACAATTTGAATACAAATAGTAAAATCTAGTATCCTTGTTTTGACTTTGAAAGTTATTTTCTAATCCTAATTAGCTAGATTTTTAAAAATCATGAGTTAGTGTTAAGCTTTGTCCAATGTGTTATTTGAACCTCTTGGGACAATCATGTTTTTTTCCTTTTGCTATGTCAGTGTTGTAAATATCAATCATAGATTTTAAAAGTAGACCATCCTTGCCTTGCTGGGATGAAAGTGCATTCACATACACGCATGTACACATATGCACCCATGCACATACATACACACTTGCACAAACTCTACTGGATTCAGTTTGCCAGTATTTTATTTAGAATTTTTAGTCTAATAAGGGTGGCTAGCCCTCTTTTTTCATTGTCTGAGACAGTTTATATAATAAATAAACAGTTCTTTTAAGAGTTGGCAGAATACTTTGTCTACAAAACCATCTAGGTACTCTGTGTGTGTATGTTTTTAACTTCTCATTCAGTATTAAAATTTATAGATCCATTCAGGTTTTCTATTTCATTTTGAGTCAGCTTCAGCTGCCTTTCATCTAATTTCCTGCCTCTTCAGGGCCAACTCCATCTCCCTTCTGTGTGTGGCTGGTAATGGACCTTAGTTAACAGAACCAATTCCCTCCCAACCCCCCTCAAGGACCACAGTCATCCTCTTGCCTTCAGTTTCTTCTTTGTTTCTAGCACCTGGGATTTTACTTTCCTTCTTGAGAACTCAATCATGTTTAATTTTTTTCATATTTTATTCAGTACTTCTAGGTGATGGTGTGTTTAGATTTTCTAGTACTTCCATTTTGCTTGATTCTGAAGTTGTTCCCACTTTATAGATAAGGAAGCTAGGGTTCAGAGTGGTTTAATAGCCTGATGAAGTTCCACTGCTAATACTTTTAACCTACTTTATAACCCAGATATTCTGGTTCTGAATCCTGTGCTGTTGCCCCATTATTCCATGTTGCCTTTTGAAGCCAATGAGGCAAAACTAGAAAGGGGCTCTAAAATGTTAAAGTGGGCAGGGGTCTCACAGGCAAGATGAGTAAGGCCTGGGATGAAGGGGGGACTAAGGAGATGGATGATGCTAGGAAATATGGAGGAAGTAATGGTGTTAAGGAAATGGCATATGGGACTCCTGGGCTGCATGCAGCTTCTGGAGGTTAAAATCAATCCATCCTCCCTGGGATCCCATAATATGTAGTCCTCTGCTCCAGATCCTGGCACAATGCACCCTCTAAACATTTCAACTCAATATTTATGGAGTGTCCAATTTTAGGTCCAGCGAATGAATGGCAAGAGTGAGCATCTGCAGTCATGGTTCCTGGCCTTAGGGAGCTTACATTCTATAGGGAGACAGACTCAATCAAATAATCACCAACAAATATAGAAGTGCAACTACACTCAGTGCCTCCAAGGAAAAGTGTACTGTGGTGTGTCAGCTCAGAGGAGGGAAATTTGACCCTGAAAGGAAGGTTAGGGCACCTTTCCAGAGGATGTGGTAAAGGAGCTGAGATCCCAAGAATGAAGAGGGGCTAAGAGAGAAACGGAAGAAAGAGCCTTTCAGGAGGAGGGTGGGCTCCTGCAAAGGCTCTCTGCCGGAGGAAGCACCACACAGACAGGAAGTGGAACACTCGAGAGTGAGGGAGAGAGCACTAAGTGTTGGGAGTCGATGGTAGAGGGGTTGGCAGGGCCACACCTGAAAGGGAAGGCCAGTATAAGAACTTGGGTCTTTAACCAAAGATCAGTAGGAAATCATCTCAGTGATTTCAGCAGGGTGCCCGCAACAATCAGGTTTGCATTTCAAAAAGGTCTGTTACTCAGGTGTGCATCTAGTGTTAGGGAAGGTCATCCCCAGTTTTTTCACTATCACAATGCTTCAGAGGAGAGCCTGGTGGTCCAGGTGGTGGCTGAATGTGGGAGATGGAGGTATGGAGAGGAGTAGACAGATTTGAGAGATGTTATACTGGATACAATTGTTAGAACTAGATGCTGGACTCAATAATGAGATGCTCACCATTAACACCCCAAGGTCAAATCCTTGGGGTGAAGTTGCACATCATATGCCTGTTTGTAATACCCAGATACCAGAACAGTCCCTGACATGTAGTGAACTCAGTACATATTTCCTGGAAGGGTGAGACTGACTAGTGGTCTCCCAAGTCATCCTTTTATCTCTAAGGTTCTTTAATTTTTTCTTGCAGGGGTCAATAGCCAGCCTTTCTGATACATCACAGGAGAAATCTGCCAAGTTCTAAAGAGTGTACTTTGGGGGAAGTTAGTTAAGAAACTACGGTCTACTTTATCCTTTAACATGAACAGTAACAGTACACTTACTGCAAGTATTGCCCAAGGGAGTAAGTCTCCTGGAAGAACCTTCTACTAGGGTGAATGATGACAGGACCCTCCAGTGCCAGGCTGGCCCCAGGGGCATCTTCTAGAGGGGCACTCCCGTAAGACTCCCTGCTGACTGTTTGAGACTCGTTTCCCAGCCCATGAAGAAGCCATGAAGCAAGCAATATGGTGGGAGAAGTGCAAATGGCGGGACATGAAGTGCTTGTGTTGGCAGCTCAGTGTCTTGACAACGCTGGGGGAAGGATGTAAATGAAGAAGAGGTGAGTGCTCCCAACTGTGATCCTGCTGGTGGCGTGCAGGCTGGAGTGGCCAGGGCCCTCACCCTACTAGGGGCAGAGGAAGGGCTTCTCATCATATGCAGGGCTGTGTGGCAGTGGGTCATTGCCTGTGCCTGGGGGAGGAGCACACCAGTGTCCAGCAGGTGTGGGCTGGCGAGAAAAGCAGAAGAACCAGTGGTGGACTCACTGATGGTGGATCACGGGCCAGGGTGCTGTTGGAAGCCATGGTCATACCAGATGCACAGGTAGGGCATCTCCCCTGGGTGCACCTGTAGGTGATGGGCCAGGCTGGCACTCTGGGTGAAGTGTTTGCCACACTCAGGCAGGGGAAGGGGTGCTAAATGAGCCTTCTCGTGGTGGATGAGGCTGGGGTGGTACCCAAACCCCACCCACAGGTGACAGAGGAAGGGCTGCTTGCCTGTGTGAACAATGGCATGCTGCAACCAGTCGGAGCTCTTGGGAGAAACCCTGCCACGCTAGTTACAGGGATGGGGTGGGGGTGGGCTGCCCAGGCACATGGGAGCTGTGGCCACACTGGCTGTAAGAGCAGGGTGGTCACCAGCATGGGAATGTAGGTACAGGGTCAGGTGTGCCCCTTAGCTGATGTGCTTCCCACACTGGGGCAGGGTCAGGGCTGTTCACTCAAGTGGGCCTGACTGTGCTGGGAGAAGGAAGCAGCAGGAAAGCAGACTCCATATCCCAGGCAGGAAAAGGGCTTTGTGCTGGTAACGGGGACTTTGGTCGGGCATGTGTGGATGGGTCAGTTGTGACAGCTGAGGGGCTGAGAGGTGCCATAGTAGATAGGGAGCCTGGGATCTGTTCTGCCTTCTCCTCCTCCTTTCCTTTGCTTTCAGCCTGTGGGGGTGAGGAGACTAAGCAGAAGCAGCAAGGAGGTGGAGGGAACACAGGAAAAAGAGGTGGGGGAGTGCAGGCTGAGCCCTACGCCTGGCTGAAGGTGTGGCTGGGCTTCAATGATCTTTCCCTTCTCCCTGAGGTGTGGCGTGGGCTTGCTGGGAGGACTGAGTGCACACCTTCCTTGTGGGCAGTTTGCCAGGGCTTTGGGCGCTGCCACGCAAGAAAAGGGCCCTCGGAGTTGGGCCTCACCTGGACAGAGTTCTCTCGAGGACACTTCACCTCCAGCTCCTGAGGCACTCAGACACATGATCTGCTATGGTCCGGGGACCAGGAAGCCTGGGAGAGGTAAAATGGGGGGATGAGGCAAGGGAGAGAGAGGTTCCCCTTTCTCCCTCTCATGACCTCTCCATGCCCCAGACTTCTTCCCTTTCCATCCATCCCACGCAGTCCTATCTCCTCTGTGCGGCCCTTGTTAACCACCCACAAGGCTCGCAGTGATCCCCGTTCCAGAGGTGTGGCGCTCTGCCTTCCCCTGAACACTTGCCGTTCACTCTGTAAGGGCAGAGCCAACATCTCAGGGTGCATCCACTGCAGCGGTCCTCGATCTTGGCGCACCTCAGAAGCACATGGAGAGCTCGTAAAACAAAACTCTGGTCCCACCTGAAGAGTTTCTATTATCAGCCTCTCTTTATCTTGCTCCTTTGCATTGCTAGTTATTCTCCACCATGCGTCTTGTCCCTCAACAAAACAGTGGTCTCTTTGTACACTTTGTATCTCTCACTTTGCCTGACCTATGTGTGCAGGTTTGAGAGAGACTGAAGGACTTGGGAAACTAAGCCTGGGGGTCCAGGGGTGCAACAGGATCTGAGCAGCCCCCTCCTTCTCCCAGCCTCTGGGAAGGAGAGCACTGGGTCCAGTAGGGTAGTGTAGTTATTTTTAATTCCTGGGTGGGTAGAGGAGACTTACCTAGAGCAAAGCTTGATATATCTCCCCCAATGGTGTCACCTTAATAAACAAGCTTATCTGAGATGTTCACAGTCGTGGGGGCAACAGAACGGAGGTTAGGAGAACTGAAAAGTAGAATGGGACTGTGGCCAAAGGGGAGCCGAAGAGGGAACGAGAACGAGGAGGCAGCCAGTAAGGTTAGGGCTGGGAAGAACGAGGTGAGGGGGTGACTCTCCCGGCGCCCCTGGAACCCGAAGAGAAGTCGGGACTCATTCCACACTCCACGACTCCGTCTCTCAGCTCCTCCGCAGCTGTTTCTCTTTCTTAAAACTCCAGGAGCACCGCCCACCTTCTTCCCGCCGCAACATCCTGGGAGCGCTACACCGCCTGGATACCTGGGGTCGAAGAGAAGGGGAGCCACAAAAAAAGGGTTCCAGGCAGACGGCGTAGAAAGGGGGCTCCACGAGGGTGCCGTGGGTATCGTCTATTTCTGCAGGGCAGGAGGTCTCTGGGGGCGGGCGCCCAGTCACCGAGACTGCGGTGTTTGCAGGGCTGGAAGGTGCGCCTGCGTCGGTACTGAGGATGCTAGGGACTAGGGGGTGGAAGGAGAAATCCCAAGGGTGGAGTGGGTGCCGGGTTGGCGGTTCAGACCCACAGGCTGACTCTTCTGCCAACAGGGCAGAGAACTGCGAGCAGGAATTTGAGGCGGATCGGGGTGGGGGCGCGAAGGGCAAACGGAAACAGGAAGTGAGGGGCAGAGAGGCTGAAGGGGGAACAGAGGGCATCTACCCCTGCCTGCGAGTCGGCTCCTCTTCTCCAGCCTCCGCACTGCCCGGGACTCGGGGCGCAGCGGGGAGCCCGTTGCCCGGCCTCTGGCCTGCGGCCCGGCCCCGCCCGCGAACCAGAGGCTCGCAGGCAGCGAGGGCTTTCCCTGGCGCTCCCCGTACAGGCAGAGCTACAACCCCCGGCGGCCCCCCTCCACTCAGCCCGCGACCCGAGGGCCCGGGCTAGCTGACTCCTGAGAACTGTGGTCGCCGACCCTGCCCGCCCTTTTCGGGAGGCAGTGGGGTGGATGGTTCTCCCTCCTTTTTCCAGCTACAGAAACCAGCTTCTTGGAATGATGATCAATTACTCTTCTTCCAAACGTCAAGGTAGTCTTGTCTGGGTCTACAAGCATTCCTTACTCTCTGGGCCACTTTGTTGCTTTCCTTTGAGTATTGAAACCCTGGATTTCAGCGTGGGCTATTGTTAGGCGGCAAGTTTGGGGTCTGATTTCACACACCTCTCTGCTTTCTTCTCTTCCAGCTTCACGGACCATTCCTCCCTATTTTCATACATATTTTCTGATTTGGAGGCTCAGAAAAATGGGATTTATACACTGAATACCTGACATTTCCTCCCCATTTCCAAGGCTAAATTTCCAGGCTTCCCTCCCCAATCTTTTTTTCCCCCTTCTATTACATCCCTAATAAACAGACACGGAACCACAAGTTTCAAAGAGGAAAAAAAGCAAACTTGTTGTTGGTAGAAGGGTATGAGGGGGAGGGTTCTTCACCTTCCCCAACATTTTGTATAGATGGGAAGTTGAGGGGCAATAGAAAAGGCAGTAGATGGGGGCACATGCCCCACTCTGTACAATATAGAAGAATCTGATATAGATACTTTGTATAAAAGCCACTTGTCCTCATTTGTGTCCTCTTGCTGGCTGGCTGGGCTAGGGGGGACTGGGGGACAAAGACGCTGGGGTGGTGGGCTAGGACACAGGGATACCCCGTGGTCCCCATCCTCTGGCTGTCCCTGTGGGGTCACTTTGGATCCTTGGTAGGGGCATAGCAGAGCTCCAGCGGCCGGGATACCTTCCAGAACTTCTCATTCACCAGTTCCAGGGTCAGTGAGCCATTCAGTGTCTACAGAGCAGGTGGAAGGAAGAGGCAGGGGAAGAGAAAGTTGCAGAAGATAAAGGATATGAATGAGGCAAAAAGTGACCAAGGGAGGAAAGAAAAGGAGTAACAGAGAGATGAGGCAAAGCAGGGCATATAGAGTGATGACAGGGAAGGGAGATTAGGAGATGCAGAGGGAGAAGAGGGTCAGTCAGTTAGGTCGGATCATGGTCTGTGTGGCCCTAGGCTCACCCCTAACCCCTTACACCACAGCCTTCAGAGGCCCTTACCGTGAAAGCTCCACCCCCAGGAGCAATGTAGATGGTGTACTGCTTTTCACTGACACCTTCCAGACTGGGCAAGGCAGGCTCCTCAGGGCTGTCACCTCCTCCGGCACCCCCACCCTCTCCACCACCCCCATCAGGTCCCCCAGGATCAGAGGCACCCCCTCCATGCCCTCCTGGCTCCCCCGCCTCTTGCTGCTGCCTCCGCTCAAGGGCAATGCGTAGGGCCAAGTACTTGGAGAGATGGTCCACTGTGGCATTCCCAGTTGTCTTCACATATCTGAAGTAGGCAAGAGAACAGGTTTAGGACACAGAAGGCCTCAAATGGAGAAGGGAAGTAGGGAACTTTCCAAAAGGGCCTCTGGGTTAGGGTTCGTTCTGGGTTTGGGCAAAGCCCATTTCTGTTGGATGTGTATGCAATCTTTTGTTTCTTATTGGTGTGGGGAAAGACAGGGCTCTCACCTAGTCTGGCAGTATTCTCCCTTCTCCACGAGCAGGGGGTGGGGCCGGAACACGAGTTCAATTTCTCCACCTGGCTCCGGAGGACTGGGGGCCCCAGGAGGGCTTGGGGGGCCCAGGGTTCCCCCTCCCAAGGTCCCTCCTCTGTCACCAGAGTCTTCAGAACCGGCACCCCCACCCACTCCACCAGTGCCACCTCCCCCTGTCCCTACACTACTCCCCCCTGCACCCCCTCCACGAGGTCGCTTGGGAGCAGGGCCTGGGGCAGAGTCAGGGGCGGAGTCTGAGCTCACATCCTCTCCGTCCCCCTCCCCCTCCCCAGGCTCTCCTTCCCCGCCACTCATGGTGGTGGTCTGATCTGACCCGGGCATTGGCCGCCTCACACGCTGGGCCCTGTAGAAACAAGTGATTTAAGTTAGAAAGCACCAAGGATGAGAGACTTAGACTTTAAACTTCAGAGAATTAGGAGAACAGGAAAATCTTAATGATGATACCTAACAGTTTTAAAACACTATGTGCCAAGCTAAGTGTTCTGCACTGATTGCCTCACATAACACATACACTATAAGGGAGGAAATTGTATTGTTTCATATCTGAGGAAACTGAGGCTTAGAGAGGTTAAGTAGTTTGAGATCATAGTCCCTACCTTCTCAAAGTGTGGTTCAAGAACCAGTAGCATAGGCTTATAGAAATGCAGACTCTCAGGCCTAATTTCAGTCCTACTGAGTTAGAATTTGCATTTTTAACAAGTAATTTGGATACACATTAACGACTAAGCATACAGACCTAGGAGGTGATTTAAGTCCCAGCAGTGTGAATGCTAGAACTTATGCTCAAAATCACTCTATTGTTCTAATATCTAGAAAGTGAGGGGCTGAGTTATTAATAGTAGTAGTGCCAGATGCTAACTAAGAAGTTGTAATTTACATCCATGATTTCCAGATCTGACAATCAGGCTGTGTTTACCTCTTAGGATGCTAAGGCTTAGAAGCTGATAGGGAGCAAAGACAGCACCAGGAGTCTGACCCATGGATCTGTCCCACCAGCCCTGCTACCACCTCCCTCCCAGACCCGAACCTGTGCATGGCCTGCATACGCAGCCCCTCTTCGATGCTGGAGCTCAGTGCCTGCTGGTTGTGCAGGCGGCTGAGGCGGATGAGAACCCGGTCTTGGTGGGCCTCGTATTCCTCCCGGCTTGGATAGATCTTAGAGATCAGGGCATCAAAGTTGGGGTCTGGCCGCAGAGACCGCTTGGATACCAGCTTCTTACGGCAGGTAGGGCACTCCTTGTTCCTGGTGTGGGAGAGAGGAGACCCTGAAAGAACAGTCAGCTGCCAGGGCATTGAGGCCCCAACTCTGTACCCTTCACCCTATTCCAAAGATGTCCCTCCTGTTACCCGCTCCGCAGGGCCGTGACAATGCAGTCAGAACAGAATCTGTGGAGACACTCCTTGGTGGTCATTGTATTCTTCAGCATGTCCAGGCAGATGGGGCACATGAGTTCTGAATGCAGTGACCGAGGAGAAACTGCAATCTCTGTGCCATCCATGATGGCTTCCTGGAGGCATCAGTGAGTTGGAAAGGTGATGGTGGGTTGAGGGGGAAATGGGTTTTAGAAACAAGTGGTTCACGGAATGGCAATTTTGAGAAGTACATATCGTGAGATGGCAGAATCTGGGTATCCCATGTTAACCACTTGAAGAAGATGGAAATTCTGAGAGAGAGAAAAGCTATTAACTTGGAGAGATTGGAGAACAGAAAGGATTAGAGTTGTTAAGAGCAGGGGCTTTGCAATAGGAAGATCTGAGGTTTGGTGAGAGGTATGGGGTGGCATGGATTTGTGGTCTGGGGAAGACTTAAATTCAAACAATTTCTTAAAGTATTGTCCTGGTACCATCTATATCAGAATCCCCAAGGGTGTGTTAAAAACGCAGATTCTGAGACCTGATCCCATTATTGTATCAGAATGTTGGGGAGTAGAGGGCAAGCCAAGAAACTCCACTTTTAAATAAATTCCCAAGGTGAGTCATAAGACTCACTAACCTATGACATTTAAATGAGAAACAGTAAAGGTAATTTCTGTCTGTTTACTATCTTTCAAATGAAGGTAGTAACACTTGCTTTACCACTCTGGCACGGCTGTTTCGAGGATTAAATGAGTTAAATGTGGAAGTGCTGAGAAAAAATTAAGGTTATTCGAAGGTAGGGCCAAGGGAGTCCGGGAAATCGGGCAGTGATGGCAGAATGGGGCAAAAACTAGAAGAGGCTGAGAGATGGGAGTCTGGGGATTGAGGGGTTTGAGGAGAGGGTGTGAACTGCTAAGAGTGAATCCGTGTCACCTGCGGAGTCCGGTGGAGCTCATACAGACTCAATTCCCACGTTTTGCTGGCATTCTGGGCATTCGCCGGCGTCGTCATGGTGACCGGGCACAGACCTCGCCACCAGGGCTCCACAGCGGGGGAGGAGGAGTGGTGGGCTGGGGACAGAGGGAAGGGGAGGGAGGGTGTTAAGGGAGCCGCCCGCGCACAGACCCCGCCCCTCCGAGGCTCCCCCCTCCGCCCCGACCCGCACCGGCGCTGCCCCTCACCCGGCTCCAGCCGTCCGCGCCCCCGCTGCCGCAGCGCCCCTAGCTGGGCCCGGGCTCCCGGGCCCAGTCAGCTCGGTCCGCAGCCGCTGCTCAAACAGCAGCTCCCGCCGCCGCCGCCATGGCCCGGGCGCTGGGGCCCTACGTCACTTCCGCCTGCCCCTCCACCCTAACCCCCCAGCCCCTGCTGGCGGAGACGTCACCCGCCACTCGCGGCGCGGGGGGGACGCGACGTGGACGCCTGGGTTCCCCCGCCCTCGGGACGCTCCCGGCCCAGTGAGGAGCTGGCTTCCTCGTAGTCCCGCGCCACGTGGGGACCACAGACCCTGTACCCGGGCCAGCGCCGTCCCGCAGCCAACCTTAGCCACCATTCCCTTCTCGAGGGCCCCACCTAGGGCCTCCGCTCCGCAGGGCGGGGCCTGGGATCGCTTCGACCCCTGTAGGGGGACGTAGAGATTGGAAAAGCGACCACCTCCCCCACCGTGTCCCCTAGCGGCTCTGGGGAACGGGTCCCCCCTCCTCACAATCCCAGGCCAGGATTCAGGGGGGGGGAAATGCTGCAAAGGATCCTCTGTCGCTTCAGTTCTCCAGTCCCGTGAACGCAACTAAGTCCCGGTGTGCCCGGGATTCCCCTTACCACCCTGGGGACTTGCTTCACCCTCCGTTTTGGCTCTCCCTAGACCCTCCGACCCGCTCTCCCCTCGAGGTTTGGGGGCGGCGGCTCGGGACGTCCAGACTCAACTCTCGGCCAGAGCCACAGACTCGAGAATTGCGTTTGGACAATCAAGAGCCGCGGCCCGGGGCGGGGGAGGAACGGGGGAATGGAGACACCACGCGGAAGCAGGGACACACTAAGATGGGGAGGGGAGGGGGTGTGTGCGTGTGGGCGAGGACAAGGGGCCGAACGTCTGGAGCGGGAAACGGGCAGAGCCTTCTCCAGGACTTTCCAGTAGGAAGGGGACGGGAAGGAAAGAAGAGAAGGGGGCAGAGCGATCCCCATTGAGGGCAGGGGATGGGAGAGGCATACGGGCATAAGAGACCGGGACGGGTGTCCTGTCTCTTCCAGCCAGAGCTCCGGGATTTGGGCTGCAGCTGCCATGGGGTGGCCTGTTTATGGGAAGGCAGCAGTGGGTCCCCTCGCCCCCTCCCCCAGTTCCCCCCTACTTCCCTGTCCTCTCCTTCAGTCCGTGGTCAGTCCTTATGTGGGCTCCAGAGTCGATTAGCGCGGACCCCCTCCCCTTCCTCCTCCTCCCAACCCCCTCCCTTCTGCTCTCCTTCAGGTCCTTTCATGGGCTGGTCCATTCCCCTAATCCTGGCCCCCTCCCCTAATCCCCCCCCATTGGACCCCAGGCCGGCTGTAGCTATTGTAAGGTGGAAAGGAAAGGGGGAGACTCAGAGAAAGGAGAGGGGTGGGGGAGGGCCACCCGTTCCAAGACTTCCTTCCAAGGCCAGACTGGACACCAGGATGGGGCCATGGACAAATCACCCTTGGGGACCATAAGGACCCAGGGAATTGGGGGGAGGAGACTGGGACTGCAGGATGAGTGGGAGGGGATGGGGTAGAGACCCCTCCCCCCCAAAAAAAGACCCAGAGTGTCACGCATCCAGAGACACACACACACTCTCTTCTCTCACACCCGGTGGCGGGGGTTGCCCTGGGAGACCAGGCACTGAAAGGGAACAATCCTCTGGGAAAGGGAAAGGAGGGGGAGGTGGGGAAGGGTCTGAGAGCTTGGACACAAGAAGAACCAGAGGTGGCAGGGAAGAGGATTTGGAATTTATTAGGGTCACAAGCACCCCTGCCTCCCATATTCAGCATTCCTGAGCCATACACTGCCACCCCTTTTGTAGCCTGGGAACTGAGTCCTCACCAGCAGGAAGCCAGGCAGAGTGGTGAGGGAGTGTGCAGAGTCCAGGGTCCTTAAAGCAGTTACATGAAAAGACCTCCTGGAAGGGGCAGAAACATTTGGACAGATGCAAAGGTGGAGAAAAATGGGCTGGGGCACCCACTTCTGTCCCTGGCCTATGGGAACTTCTGCCCTTCCCTCAGTGGCACCAGACTTGCCTCACTTTCCCTTACCATCTGGGTTCCACTTCTCTGCTCTCTCCCTCCCCAGGATGGCCTCATACCAGTGACTTCCACTGAGGCCCCTGTGATGTATCCACTGGCTTCAGATGCCAAGAATGCAACCACATCTGCTACATCTATGGGAATAGTGGAGAGAGGGCACAATCCTACTCACTCTTATAGACCAAAGTGGCCATCACCTCCCCCTAGCAACACCCCCTCTTCCCAGGCACACACAGAAACAACCAATCCTGGTGAGAACCTCTCAGATACCACAGACTTTGGGATCTCTTCACTTAGCACCGTTCCCCATGGCCTTCGTCCCCACTCAGTGCTCACCCTCAGGGCTCCCCATATGTCCCATTGGGATCATTCCAATCACCTGTAAGGAAACATATGTAGGTGAAAGTTTCTTTTATGGATTTTTTTGTAGACCAAGTCTTTGACCCTTTTTTCTTTTGTATTCATTCTTTGTACACTTAATTGAATATCTACTATTTGCCAGACACTGTGCCTGGCATTCTCTCTCTGCAGCCCAGAGAGGTTGGGTCTGAATAATATAGTTCTCTGCCCACGGCCTCCTACCTTGTCCAGCACTTTCTGTGGCACTTTTTGTGTCATAGGTGTTGTAATGAACCCTGGGAGGACAGAGTTACAGCGGATTCCATGTCTGTGGAAGGGAGAATGGCTGCTGACTTTGGAGAGGACTGAACATTGACCTTTTCCTCAGACCTCCCATAAGCCTCAGCAAAACTTCCCCTCTCCCCAGGCGTCTGACCAACCGTCCAAGCTCACGGGCTGCAGTCTGGGTCAGCCCAATCACTCCAGCCTTGGATGCTGCATAGTTTGTCTGTCCCACATTTCCCACCTATAGGTGAGTCAGAGATTTGGGATGAGTCAGAAGTCCGAAGGAGGAGCTGTCCTCTCTATGCCCATTTTAGTTGGCTGACCTCGTCCCAACTCAACCTCACCTTCCCTATGATGCTACTGATATTGATGATGGAGCCATGACAACCACTGGACACCAGGGCTTGGGCTGCAGCCTGTGTGACTAGAAAGATGCTCTGGGTTGGGAAGAGGAACAAGGCACAAAGGATCAGCTGGAGTGACAGTCTTTCTTCAACTCCCTCCCCCAGGCTAGAGGAGCCAGAAGTCACGGGTTCAGAGGTCACCACCTTGAGATTGACAGCTATGACTCTGTCCCAGTCGTCCTCAGACATGTGCAGCAGAAACTCATCCCTGTTGATGCCCGCACAGGACACAACGATAGATGGAGGCCGAGAAAAACAGGCCTATGGAAGGAGGAGGTTACACACCAAAATACCACGGAAAGCCAGGGACAGTAGAGGCAGTGTTAGAGCTTTAAAGGGGGCGAGGTCTCTCGCGTTCACCTGCACTTGTTCCAGCAGGCGCCTGGTGGCCCCTGCCTCAGACACATCAACCTGGAAGGAAGCGTGGGCGCCGCGGGGCACCCCCTCCTCGCTCCCCCGCCCGCGCAGCAGCCGCACCGTCTCCCGTGCCGCTGCCCCGTCCAGGTCGCAAGCGGCCACGGTGGCCCCCTCTCCGGCCAGGCGCCCACTGACGGCTCTGCCGATGCCGCCACCCGCGCCTGAGGTGAGAGAGAACACGCTGGCAGGTAGGAGGGAGGAGTGGGCAGAGGTCAGAGGTCAACAGGGCACAAAGTAGAATTTGGACGAGGCCACATCGCTGCAGAGTCCGAAGGCGCGACCCCAACTTCAGCACCCCAAACCACCCAGCGATAGCACCCCTTCAACCTGTGACCAGGGCCAGCGCGGAGCGGAGCCGGAGTTGAGACGCCATGGTTAGCAGCGGGTAGGTGGGTGGGAACCCACTCCAGGACTGAGCCAATCCGAGCTCAGAGGGGGCGTGGCGAGAGCAAAGCCGCGCCAATCGAAGGCCCACAGGCGCTAGGCTAATTGTGGCCGCCAGCGCAGGCCAACCTCCCACAGCCAAGCCGGGGTGCAGCCAAGTACCACGACTTGGGGGGTCGGGTAGTGGGGAGGGGCCCCACTCCCCCTAAAAAGCCAAAGACTGCGTGTGAGGTGGAAGATTTAAAGACTTTATTTCCGGTCACCACCCCTCCCCTTCCATTCAGTGATATAAAAAGAAATAAAAAAATCAGGCCATGAGATTAGTAGCCCCCCTTATCCCCCAATCACTTCCAAATTAGGACACACGATTGACATTTAATTGATCATCCCTGACTCCTCCTGCTACACTCTGTCCAGGGCTCTGGTCTTTCCTGAAACTTCCAATAACAGGTGGGAAAGAGTCAGACCGACCCTGAAGAAGCCTGTGTAGTAGCTTGGTCCTCCGTGAAGAGGTTGAGTAGCGGGACAGGGGTAGGCTGCCATCACGCCTCCTCTTTTTTATGGCCCCATGTAGCCCCGCAAATCCAAAAACATGGTCAGCACATGCTCAACACTATGGCCCCTCTGGCCTCTCATTCTCACCTCTGCAGCCCCTTGTAGGACTGCCATGGCCCTCATGCCAAAGTCACCACTTTCCTAGGATAGAACTTCTTTGGCAGATGTCTCTGGGCAGGGCCTCCAAATTCCACAGCCCCCTGACCTGGGAGACTTAAGAGGCTAGAGGTTCAGGGCTGGGGTGGGGGCAGTTTATCCCACCTCTCACTCGAGGTGGGCAATCAGCACCATCATGACAACTCCTCCCAGCAGCCCAAGCACCTCCAGAAGTGACTGCAGTGGTGATGCCTCCCTCAACAGCTCAGGCAGCACCGACACTGTTGCCACATAGATAAAACCACCTGCAGTGAATGGTAGAACCCAGCCAGGACCTGTACCACCTGCAATTTCATTGCCCACTGCTCCTCCTTCAGTTAGGAGGGCACAGGCTGTGCCTGCCAGTGCCCCTACTGCCGTGAGTAGTTGTAGACGCATCGCCTGGTGGGCAGAAGAGAGAGGCACTCAATGACATGTAAAGGATATCAGTGGTTTAGACATAGCTGTGGGGTATAGGTGCACATAGGTAGGGTAAATGCCTTTGAGAACTAAAGAGTAAGACAAAAAGTGGGGTGGGGGAAGGTCTACAATAGACACTTTTTGAACAACCTTAGATATCAAAGAGGTTCTTTCCACAGACCTGACCCAGTAGGTCAGGGTGGGGAGCTGAGTGTGAAAGACCCTCATAAACCATTCAGATGGTTTACAGACCACAGTTTAAGAAACACTGAGTGACAGGACAAAGAAAGAGAACTTCCCCCTCTCATTTCTAGAGAATTTGTTGTTAGTAACAGTATGACTTGTTTGGAACTAATGAGAAGCAGTTCTTGGGTATGGGGTGAGCAGAGGATAAAGGATTTGAGACAACCATGTTCGGTGCATATCATCACCAACCTGCTTTTTGCTGCACCCAGACTGGACCAAGATGGCAAAGTCCCCGACTTCATGGGGCACTTCATGTAGCAGGACAGTCAGTGTGGTCACGATCCCTAGCCCCCGACCCCCACGAAATGAAGCACCAATGGCCAGACCATCTGTGAAGTTGTGTGCCAGGTCAGCAGCCAGATTTAGGTACCCTGACACACGCAGATCTTGTACAGGAAAAAAGGAAGATAAAATGATTAGAGACATCCATCCTCCGCAGTCCCAGCCCTGGTCAGCCCTGATCACCTTTCCACAGACCACTTCACAACTAGCCCCTCTGTGTTTCCCAGACATCTGCCATTATCCGCAGTGTATATTCCATGTGATTCACGATGATGCTCCTTGCCCAAGCATCACCAACCCTGGCCCTCACCTGAACCTATTTTTTCATCTTCAGAATTCTCAGGTCTCACTGGCCCATCTTTGGGCCCTGTACTCCCTGGTCTTCTCTTCTGTGATCCCCCTCCTTCCTTTTCTTCTTCCTCTGAGCTCTGCTTCTTCTTTGAAGGATGCTCTGAGGGAAGAAAAAAGTTGGTAAGAGTGGGGAACAAAATACCTTCAAAAGGGGAAGTCCCCTCCCATCTAAGAGCCATAAAATGAGCAGATTCTGAGGTAGACAAGGTGGCTTTTATGAAAGCTGTTTCTGGGCTCACCCTGTCTTCCATGTCCATGGCTTCCATGTGCGTGACCATGAGTGTGTCCATGTCC